CCATAGAGATATCAAGTTGATGAGTTTGTTGGTGAGAATTGATAGGGGAATAGTAACTCTTCCCCCTTTCTTTAAAGAGCGTTGAAATTTTCCATTTGTTAAAATTTTTGGTAATACTCTAAAACATGGTTTACTCTAGCTCAACTAAGTTGCCACTAGAGCCAGTATTCTACAATGTCCAAGAGGTGCCCATTCTTCGGACTGGAAAATTGATTTCCTTCAGCAGGAAAACTAACGGAAATTCACATATACAACTTCTAAGTTTACAGTAAAAAAAAAAATGATGTCCCTCCCTCTCAAATCAAATGATAGAAGCAGCATGTTGGGTGGGTTATTTCATTCAAGTTTGGAGGATAGGATAACTCACTATAGATACAACTATACAAGGGGAATGGCTTTCTTGAACCTAAAGAGTGAACAGCATTTATGAATGCGGACATCAACATGAATGAATCTTAATTTATCAGCCTGTTTTTCAATATGATTTATGACTTTTTTATATAATTTTTACACTTTCTAGTCGTTACTTGATTCCTTGTTTATTGCTCATATAGGTCCATCTGCAGTTGATGGGAATTCAGCAAGCTGGTGTTCCTTTGCCAACAGATGCAGTTGAGGAGCCTGTTTTTGTGAATGCTAAGCAGTATCATGGCATTTTGCGACGTAGACAGTCCCGTGCAAAGGCTGAATCAGAAAATAAAGCTCTGAAGTCTAGGAAGGTATGCAAGCACTAATACTTAGTGGTGGTAGTCCTCCACTTCCTTTAATGGTAGCATAACCTATCAAATTGCTTTTGTTTTTGGTCTGCTTTTCCTTTCATGTTGCTTCATTCTTTAGTTTTTGACTGCTTAGCTTCTGTATATTGTGCAGCCATACTTGCATGAATCTCGACATTTGCATGCATTGAGGAGAGCTAGGGGTTGTGGTGGACGGTTTCTCAAATCAAATAAAAATGAGAATCAACAAAATGAAGTGGCGTCAGGTGATAAATCACACCCCAATATAAATCTTAATTCTGATAGAAGTGATCTAGCTTCTTCAGAGAACTGATGCCCGAGGCACTGTTGGTGAATGACGAACAGCACATGCCAGCAATTGTAAGGAAATTGAAGTCCCAATACCAGCTTCAGCTGTGTTAGTAATACTTCATCCTTAGTCTATACTAGCAGCATTCTAGCATATAGGTTTCAGTAGCTGTTACTTAGGAAGGATCCAAATTGTAGCAGGCAAGTATGCAGGATAATTCATCGTAAATACTGAAGTGAATAAGCTGATTGTTCTATTTATGTTTCTCCCCATCTCAAGAATAAGTGAAGTGGTAGCTTTTGGTTGTAATGATCCCCAAGCACATAATTCATCGTAAACACTCTTCCTTTGCCATTTTAGTTGTAATGATCCCCAAGAACATATTGTGCATTGGTAGCTTTTGGTCTTATACAGCATCTCCATATCAGTCTTGGGGAAGTTTTGAACCTGTAAATAACGAGAAGGTGAATTGGTATCTTTTGTTTATATTACACACTGCAGGAAACTACCTGAACGTCTTCTGGGACTGGTCTGCTCTGTCCATGTCTTGCTACTATTATTCAATTTAAGTTGCTCACTTCAGCTATGCTTCTTTAGTAAAGCTTAGAACTTGCAGTTCCCATTCTTCATTTCCATCAAACACTCTGTATTATATCAATGGCTCCATCTGAATGGTTGGATTTTACCCTTTTCTAGTGGAGATTCATTGAGTATCACATGTTTTATGCAAACAGAGTTTGTGAACTTACTCATATTTGCTTGTCCCTGCATTGAAGTAGCAAAGGAAAAGGCAGAAGTAAAATAGTAATATGTTAACCCGTTGTTGAACCTTGTTTTGTCGTTTCTTTTAAGTGATTGCAGGAGGATAGGGTCTCTCAAAAGGGAGAAAAAGGTGAGAATCTTTTCATTCACACAGGTTTGTGAAGAATTAAAAATAGAAATGAAATGTAATGTGGGTTCGTTCACGTGTACAAAGCAAACCCATATGCTATTGAAATCTGAGCCACTTTTGTTCCAAGAGTGTTAGGTGGTGTCCTATGCAGAACAGATTGTGTGGAGTCCCTATCAAACCCCCATTCCTTGCATTCCTTGGAAATCAAACACTTTCTTTTCAAATCTCCATTACCTTTGTAATTGCACCATTAGAAGTCACTTGGAGTGTTCAATAATACCTTCTTCAGCCTTCTCTTCTCATCTCATGTTATGTATAATAACAAAGTAAAGTGTTGTTATGAATCAGGTTGTTATTATAATGCATGAGAGCTTTAAGGATGGAGGCAAATGCAATTTCATGCACTAGTGCCCACCCACTAAACCCTTTTTCAGAAGATTTTAAAACCAGAACTGTTCAAAAACGTATATTTAAATGCAAAAGTCTCAAACTTTATGATTACTCCAAATCATAATTGGGATGTATTATGTGATAGCAAAACCATAATGAATAGCAAAAATACAACAGTTTTTGGCATTTTGCTTCACATGAGTATTCCCCTAAAGTTGGGATTCTTCCTCTCCATCACTTATCATGCATACATGACAGAGAAAGCAAGGTGTAAAATGCAAGCAAAGGCACAAATTTTAGGATAAAGAAGATGGTGGGGTTTTCATCTTCAATATATATATATACATATATATAAATCAAGGACCTACTCCTTTTGGTGCATGACAGAATGTGTCGACCACAAAGTTTAAATTTTGCATCCTACGAAAATTTAAACTTCTAACCTCTTGAGTCAAGTTATTCGTCTAAAAAACACGAGTAAGTAGCGAAAGGGGACACGAAAACAACCCTTCTCTTGAACTTTTAGTTTCTTTTTTTTAGTGGGTTTGGCCTCATCTCTTCCAAACAAAAGTAAAAGTTATTAAAGTTAAAATGGAGAGAAACAGAGAAAGGAGGGGTTTGATGATGAATGATATGTAGGCAAGGAGACAAGAAAACAGCAAGAGAGAGTCTGCATAGCCATTGACTCATCTCTCCCTCAATTCCCATCATAACCCCACTACTCTAACTTATCTTCAACACATCAAAACCTTGGATGCTTTACAGATATCAAAACCCTTTGTACTAAAATGTCAACCTCTAAGTCAATTACTTTTGTTCTTTTGAGCAAAGGGTATGAAAGTAAGATCAAACACATAAAACTAAATCAACCCAGATTCTAAGAAACTCATCTTTTGAAATTTTGACCTCAAAATGAAGATTGAAGCATGAGTTTCCTCTGGAAAGCTATTTGGTTTTAGCATATAAATGGCTTGTATGAACAGTTGGGGCAATGGCTATTCATTTGTTTATGGATATCCAGCTGCTTTATGCTGTTAATTAACCATATGATTGTGATTAAATTAAAAACAAAGTTTAGAATAAAGAAAAAGTGTCCCACAAGGGAATTGTAAAACATTATTGCATGCCCCAAACTCTCATAACAACACTATCAATCATTACCCATTAGCTTCAACACACTTTTTAACAATATGATGCATTATAAACTTAACAAATATTTAATCTCACAAATATTTAATGCGGGGAGTGGTTGGATATTGAAGATAAAAGCAATAATTAACAAAAGGGTTATGCCTCTAATTGGCTCTTCTGGACACTGTCTTCTTTGTGTGAAATCTTAGCCTTTATTTTTGGTCAGTGAGCAAAGATTTTAACTTGGATTCTCTCTTCACTCTGATAGATTCTCTTGATAAGACTAAAACTTTCCTAAAGCTATGCTCTTTCTCTTTTTTTTGGAAGGAAAAACAGAGCTTGGGCTGCAAACATCTAAAAGCTTAGCACCAGAATTATGACATAACAGCCATAAGAATAAAGGAAGGAACTGAGGTTTAGTTGAGTGTGAAGGTTCTCAACAAAACATAACTCAACTAGTTAAATACATGTTCGTCTTCGTCTTCTTTATGAGATTTTAAATAGTTGCAAAGCAAACATGTCTCTTTTCACCATTTTTTAAAACAACTTCTCTCTCCCTGTTGAATATATATATATATTTTGTAGGGGAGAGTTTCTACCATTAAAAGTAGTGCTGCCTAAGAAATGATAGCACTAATGTGTTGTAAATTTTAAAAGTAGTTATCAATTTAATCCTAAACCCTAAACCAAATTGCTTTGAAGACACTATATAGCCCATAGCCCTTACCTTTTTTCAATAGATTCCTATCCATTCTTCCAAATCTTAAAACCATTTTTCATGCTTAGACAAGTTCTTTAGTTAAAGAGAGACTTGGGCGTTTAAGTTTTCCATAGATAATTGATATTGAGGACTATTGATAGTGTTCCATGACCATTCCACTAATGAAATTGGGACCTCTTTCTCCCTCTATTTAGAAGATAAATCATTTTTTTACTGCTTGTGTCCATAGCTCTTTGTAAAGTTGCTTCCTTTATTACCACTTTCTTCGATTGACTTTGAGCATACATACGCATATATTTGGATATCGTGCCTAGTACTCTTAGCTAGCTAAAGATATTTAATTGGTTGTTGGTTTGACAAGTTTATAGAGAATTTGAAAGTAGAATTAGTTGAGCTGGATTGATCTAACATACTTTTTGATAAGATTATGAACGTTGCAACTGATTCAGCTTTAGTTTCTCGGAGATACAACCGTCTCAAAGTGTATGCACACGAGTAATTGCAAACCCATAGAAACTAAACTTACTAAAACAGCTATAAGAAGGTGAAGTGATTGGAAACAAATTGTATGACAAAAAATGGAGGAGGTATACCTAAAATGCTAAAGTTAGAAACACCAACATGGATCTAAAAGACCAAATCTTTAGGTATTGTTGAATGTAAAAGATTAGCCAGTTAAGAAAATAGCACAAAAACAGAAATGATAGTGAATAATGCCAAAGATAAAGTTGGCAAAAGTCCAAAGGCCAAAGGTAATAATTTTGGCCACTTTCCCTCTCCGTTCCTTCATATTCACCTAATAAAAGTCCTCTTCTCTTGCAGATACATAACAATAGAATTAGTTCTTTTTTTTTTTTTTCTTTTTGTTCTTAAAGATTGAGAAATGAAGATGAAGAACAGAACCCATTATTCAAAAGAACCGTTCTTGCTCTCTGGCCTTCTGAGTTTATGGGACAGGCTTTAAATAAAACAAATGCCCCTCTCAGCCTCTCTCTGACACTGCCTACTCTCAATTAATCCTTCTTTTTCTTTTCTTTTCTTTTGAATTTTCACATCACTCAGTGGGATTTTCAATTTTTATTTGTTGCAGAAAAACCCAGAGAGAGAGAGAGGGAGAGAAAGTTGGGAAGAGGAATTAGCCACCTGGCTCTTGGATTGCCATTGGATATTTGTTTTCTTGTGTTTATAATACTTTCTCTGTCCACGTCTTTTGCTTTTCTTTCTGTGGGTTTTGGTTTTGGATTTTCTTTTTTCCTCGAAATTGGTGTTTTTGTGTGATAAAGAGCAGAGGACTCTGTTCATGCTCTTCTTCAACCTGTGTGCTTTGAGGAAGAAGCAGAGCACTAACTGATGAAGGAGAGAGGAGGCTCTCTTGGAGGAGAGAGCCTGCCCGGTAAAAACACTAACAACACCAACACCGCTCAAGAAGAAGACCAAGACGACCCTCAAATTTGCTGCTAACTTCCCTTTTTTCTCAGTCAAAAAATTTCAGTCCTTGAGGCTTTTTTTTGGTGGGTTTTGAATCTTTCTTTGTTCCAGTTCGTTTCAAAAGGTTCATGGCGCTTGTAATGCACAAAGACTCATCAAACCAACAGATGGATACGAGCAAATACGTACGGTATACACCTGAACAAGTTGAGGCATTAGAGAGAGTCTATGCAGAATGTCCAAAGCCCAGTTCTCTTAGAAGGCAGCAGCTCATTAGAGAGTGTCCAATCCTTTCTAATATTGAGCCCAAACAGATCAAAGTTTGGTTTCAAAACCGCAGGTATTATTCTATTTGTTGCTTCTCTTTTCTTTTCTTTTCAGAACGACAATCTCTCTTTCAGAAAACATGTACTAAGTGTTTTTGTTTGTTTGTTTTTGCTATCTGCAATACTGTCATTAGTTTTGGTTTTGGGGTATGAGCTTGTGGTATATCTGAGCAAGGAGTTGAATAGCTATGGGAGATGGGTTTGTAAGGAAGTGATGCTTTTGATTGAAACTAACCACTTTTGTCCATAGAACTTCTGTGCTTTGGGGTTAAAGTTCATTTAAGTGCTTGACTACTGTCTTTAATTGTTTGGATTTGAACTAAAACTATATAACCTTCTAATATTGTCTCAAAGCCGCAAGTTTTCTGGCCTAAACTTTTCTCACTGATATCTCTTAGATTCAGTCTCTCCAGGGGGGCTGGACTGTGAATTATATGGTTTTAAGCAGGGTTTTCTATTTCTTATTTGGATTACAAAAGCAAGGTCTCACTTTTCTTGAGGCATATCTAAATTGTAAGCATCTGTTTTTATTGTTTCTTTGATGTCTTAATTATCAGTCATGGATGAAGAAAGATGATAATCTAATGCTTCATATCATCTCCAATTAATCTTCTTACTGCACCAGTGCCAAACAATTTCACAGTTCCTTTTTAACATTATTCTCTGTTAGATGCCGGGAGAAGCAGAGGAAGGAATCTTCTCGACTCCAGAGCGTAAACCGAAAGTTGTCTGCGATGAACAAGTTGTTGATGGAGGAGAATGACCGTTTACAGAAGCAGGTGTCCCATTTAGTGTATGAGAATGGATTTATGCGCCAGCAACTTCATAGTGTAATCCCTTTTAGAACTATTATCTTCATCTTTGTCTTTAACAAATGTGCTATTATGATTGTTATTTCTTAATCTTAGCTCTTCTTTTCTGATGAACAGACATCTGGGACGACTACAGACAACAGCTGTGAGTCTGTAGTCATGAGCGGTCAGCCCCAACAACAGCAAAACCCAAATCCTCAGCATTCTAACAGGGATGCAAACAACCCAGCTGGGTCAGTATGTTTATCATCTTGCTGCATATCCCACTACTTTTTTCTTCAGCATTCTAATATTTAAAGTGCTTTTATGAATTGGGTGCTGTAGTCTTCTTGCAATAGCCGAGGAGACCCTGGCAGAGTTCCTTTCCAAGGCTACAGGAACTGCTGTCGACTGGGTCCAGATGATTGGGATGAAGGTAACTGCTCTTTGAATGATTGGGGTTCAAGGTTTACTCAACGTTCTTAATGAATAAATGTCTAATTTCCACAGCCTGGTCCGGATTCTATTGGAATCGTTGCTGTTTCCCGCAACTGCAGTGGGGTAGCAGCGAGAGCCTGTGGTCTTGTTAGTCTAGAGCCAATGAAGGTACTTTCTGTTGGAAGATGATGGTTTGATTGTGGCAACTTTCTTGTGTGAGCATAATAAACCTGAAATTTGATTGATGCAGGTTGCCGAAATTCTTAAAGATCGCCTTTCATGGTATCGTGACTGTCGCTGTCTTAATGTTTTTAGTGTAATCCCTACTGGAAATGGGGGAACAATAGAGCTCATATATATGCAGGTTACCTAATACTTATCTTCCTCTCACTTTCATGGTTAGTTTTTCATTCTACCATTTCTAATTCCATCGTTTTTCGTCGTTAGACTTACGCTCCAACAACATTAGCAGCTGCACGTGACTTCTGGACCATGAGATATACAACAAGTTTAGAAGATGGCAGTCTAGTGGTAGATTTATTCACCATAACTTTGAAACACTAATTTTTCATTTGGATATGGTGAGCCCTGATTGCAACTGTTGTTTTGGATTAATTTGCAGGTCTGTGAAAGGTCATTAACTACTTCAAGTGGTGGTCCAGCAGGGCCTCCGCCATCTACTTTTGTGAGAGCTGAAATGCTTCCTAGTGGTTATCTAATACGAGCATGCGAGGGTGGTGGATCTATTATTCACATTGTTGACCACATTGATTTGGATGTGAGCTTTCAACTAAAGTATTCAATCAGCATGTTTTTTTATTGTTTATACATTTTTTTTTTTCATCTTCCTTCTGTTCATCTGTAGGTTTGGAGTGTCCCTGAAGTTCTTAGACCGCTTTACGAGTCATCCAAGATCCTTGCTCAGAAAATGACGATCGCTGTAAGAATTGTCCCATGAGGTTTCGTTCTCTTGACAAGCAAATCATATCTGTTCTTACTGTGTGAGACAAATTTGTCTTGCAGGCATTGCGTCACATTAGACAAATTGCACAAGAGACTAATGGAGAGATCCAATATAGCGGGGGACGTCAACCAGCTGTATTACGAACGTTTGGTCAGAAACTCTGCAGGTTGTGTTTGCATGAACGTAACTGGTTTATTTATTATGGAGAAAATAGTCCTTAGTGATTTAGTTCTAATCGTTAAATGGTCTTTAGGGGTTTCAACGACGCTGTTAATGGGTTTGTGGATGATGGTTGGTCAGCTATGAGCAGTGATGGTTTGGAGGATGTGACAATTGTCATAAACTCATCAGCAAACAAGTTACCTGGGTCACAGTATAAAACGTCTATGTATCCCTCTTTTGGTGGAGTGATGTGTGCAAAAGCATCAATGTTGCTTCAGGTGTGTATTTGGTTGACTTTATGTGTCTACTCGTCTACTCGGTAGTACTTGGTTTCAATCTTAATTTGTCTACTCGTCTTCAGAATGTGCCTCCTGCTTTGCTTATTCGATTCTTGAGGGAGCATCGATCTGAATGGGCTGATTATGGAGTTGATACCTACTCCGCCGCAAGTTTAAAAGCCAGTCCATATGCTGTTCCATGCGCAAGGCCGGGTGGTTTCCCTAGCAACCAGGTTATTTTGCCTCTTGCTCACACTGTGGAGCACGTAGAGGTAACGATTCCTACCTATCAGAGAAATTCTTGCAGGTTCTCCTTTTACTATAAATATAGCGTCGTCTTTGTACAGTTTCTGGAGGTGGTTCGGCTGGAGGGCCTTGCATTCTCCCCTGAAGATGTTGCTTTGGCTGGACGAGATATGTACTTATTGCAGGTTAGTTTGTTACAATGTGTAAGTTGGATCTTATCGTCGTGATGTGTTTTCTCAACTTCTTCATGGCAGCTCTGTAATGGAGTTGATGAGAATGCAGTTGGAGCTTGTGCTCAGCTTGTGTTTGCGCCTATAGATGAATCTTTTGCCGATGATGCTCCTTTACTTCCTTCTGGTTTTCGTGTCATACCCCTGGATCCAAAAACGGTCTGTTTCTGTATTTATTGCACACATCCCTTTTTAAAAGCATAAGTTAATTTGCTTTCCTTGGCTATGTTTCCCCCATATTGCAGGATGAGCCCACTGCTAATCGAACATTGGATTTGGCTTCTACTCTTGAAGTCGGTGCCAACGGTGCACGCTCTGGTGGTGAAGCTGATTTGAGCACCTACAACCTCCGGTCGGTCTTGACTATTGCCTTCCAGTTCACTTTTGAGAATCACTTACAGGAAAATGTGGCTGCTATGGCTCGACAATACGTTCGTAGCGTTGTGGGGTCTGTTCAGAGGGTTGCTATGGCCATTGCCCCATCACAGTTGAGTTCCAATATTGGACTAAAACCCCTTCCTGGTTCTCCTGAAGCTCTTACTTTGGGTCGATGGATTTGCCGAAGCTACAGGCATGTATACATTATCCACTCGAGTCTTCGGCTTTATTATTCTTCATATGTATGGTTTAAAGTATCAAATCTGATCTATGTTTGAAGAACTCCTCCCCTGCCCCAAATGGGTCTACTACTTACAACAGTTTTGTGTTTCAGGATCCATGTTGGAGCTGAGCTCCTTCAAGCCGATTCCCAGTCTGGGGATGCCATGTTGAAGCAGCTCTGGCACCACTCAGATGCAATCATGTGTTGCTCCGTCAAAGCCAACGTAATCAATGTTTCCACCCTAAAAACCCAACTACATAACAGCCACGGAACTGCTCTGTAAAGCTAACGACATGTTTTGGGAAACTTTCATTGCAGGCATCTGCTGTGTTCACCTTTGCCAACCAGGCCGGTCTGGACATGCTTGAAACCACTCTTGTTGGCCTGCAAGATATAATGCTCGACAAAATTCTCGACGAAGCGGGTCGGAAGATCCTCTGTTCTGAATTCCCCAAAATAATGCAGCAGGTAAACATGGTTTTGATTTATCATGGTCTCTTCTGTCCTACAGATTAGGAATATCTTACATAACATTATTTTTTGCCATTGCAGGGATTCACAAATCTGCCATCTGGCATTTGCATATCGAGTATGGGTCGTCCTATTTCTTACGAGCAAGGCGTTGCCTGGAAGGTTCTAAATGATGATGATTCCAATCACTGTCTGGCTTTCATGTTCATAAACTGGTCTTTTGTGTGATGGCGAAGGACATGACTCTAGTGGGATTTGTAATTTCAACTTAGACATATAATGCCTTTGGTTTGACTGCAGGACTTTTTGCTTTGGACCCTTTTGTTTCAAACTTAGACACCCATGTCTTAAAGTCGTTCATTTCATGAACTCTATTATATGCTAATATGATGGCTACATCTTCTGCTTAAGGAACATTTATCTTTATAGCTACATCTGCTTCATTTTGTAGGATTCAGTAGGGGACTATCCAAAGAAGAAATCTGACAAAAGGTTCATGTATAAAAAATCTGAAGCCCAAGTAAAAATATGAACACTACATAGTGCACACACTACTTATACACATGCAAAGTGTAAAACATGTTTATTAGATTGAAGTTTAATACTGTAGCAGCAGATAGACTAAATGAGAAGACAATACAATAGATTAAAGCTAAAAGGCACTAATTCTTAACCCAACAAAAGCTCTTGAACAGATGAGACAGTAAGAAATTTGTTGCAAAGGAAAAGAAGGGGTAGGGGAGGCAGCAACCAGTGAGGCACTGAAGCAAAGTAAGTAAAAGAATAAGTAATGGGGAGTTGAAGGGTTAACAAACCCAACAGTATTTGACAGAAAACTCATAAATGGAGAAGAAGAGGAGCAGAAGGAGTTGAGCTTCAGCTTCAGATACACAAAGACAGGTAGGTCAAGGCGAGCTAAGCAGAGCTCCCTCTTTCATTTCATAAGTCATAACTACACACTATATGTGACAGAAGGGGTAGAGTGAATGTAAAATCAGTCCATCCCACCTATCCTATAATATAATCATCATCTTTGAAACAGAGCAGCAGCCCACACCAGGATCTTACCTGTTTTGGCTTTTCCTGTTTTTCCTTTCCATTTTCTCTGTAACCAAACAAAAAAGGGATTTTGGAAGGTCTAATCACACTTTAATTTTTCATATTACTTTCTCTTCATAGTTTCTTACCTTTTCTAACTCATTTCTTTACCTTTGTCTGATGGAGTGATTTTTGCCGCCTCTCATTTTGGTATCATTTTTATTTCTTTTACTGATATAGTTAAAGAAAAGAGGGAGTGGCGGTAAAAGGATGAGTGCCGAAGGTACTGTGAACTGTAATTTCGAGACTGCTGCCAGTCTCTGTCTGTGCTGTTTTTTTTTTTTGTTTGTTTGCCAAAAAAAAAAAAACATTAATGTATTAAATTAAGTAAACAAAATCTTTTCCCTATCTTTTTGGTGCAGTCTTAATTTAAAGCCATTGATCCCCCCCCCCCCCCCNCCCCCCCCCCCCCTCTCTCTCTCTCTCTTTTTCGAGAAGTAGAACTTGGCCTTTTCTTCTTCCTGATTTTGGTAGTATCTGGGTTTGCTTATTGATTTGTTCAATGCAAATTAAAAACAAAAAAACAAAGGGTTAAATTAAAATTTTAGTCCCAAATTTAGGTTCATTTTCTCCACGAACTTTAAAAATATGCATAGATATTGAGGTTTAAAGCGTTGGAAAAGGAGATGGGGGTTTTCAAAGGTGTAATTTGGTTGTATTCCATGGACACCATTTTCAAGGGCGATTGTCCCTACAATGGCGCTACCTGCACCAGCCCCAGCCCCAGCCCCAAAGGAAAAGAAGGCATTAAAGTGCAAAGTTTCAAAACCCCATAGAAAAGTGTGGTAGAGAGAGAATCTCAGAGTGGGATTAGGGTTTGCAATTCATTTGGGCAAAAAGAGGATCCTTTCTCTGGAATTGCTGCTGTTTTTCAGATTTTCTTAGGGTTTAAAGATATCATCTTCCTCAGACTCTATAATCCATAGGGCTTTTCAAATAACCCTTCCAGTTCCCCCATTTAATTCAGATTTGACTACTCCAATCTATTTTAGCATCTATCATGATTCCCTTATTCTTATTTTTCCTTTTCAGATCAATAAATTAGGATGTCTTATTTTCAATTTCAAAGCCCTAAAATGGTAAAGCCTAGAGGTAACAAGACATCAACTGTCTCGCACAAGTCTAAATCGCACCCAAAATCGTGCACTCTATAGTGTTGAAAAAAGATTGCATGTCTAGAATTATAGAAATGACTATTTCATTATACCTTTATCACATATTACTATATGCGAAGTTCGAAATGAATTTACAAAGATGGATTCTTTTCTTAAAAAAAGAAATCAAATATTCATTTATAACCATGCACACGAGTCATGACTCATGGATTTCTTTACCTAAAATTGCTGTAAAAGCCCAATGCTAATCCACCTGCAGCACAACAGAACGCTCATCTTCATCACAACGTGCTGTACATGCAAATAGAGTTGTTAGTCTCTCTGTATCAGTCAAATCAAACTAGCCTTAGTTGAAACTATTGTTCAAGACAACCAACGAAGCGAAGAGAAAGCAAACAAGATAAACTTGCCAGGCTTTTATTAATACGCAGACGCTTGAACACTACAAAATTTTACTTAACGATCTGAAAATCAACAAAAATGGAACTCGCCAAAGGTTTATCTTGGATGGTTTTTCTCTTTACCATGTGCATAATACTTCCTTCAGTCCAGTCCCAAGATAAACAAGAGATTCTCATAATGCCTGCAAAGAGACCCAATTTTTGACCAAATGCCACAGAAATTAGAATCTTGTTTTCAATTAACAGGAGCAGGTAAATATGCTTCTTTGTAACTATTTGACTAGAACAATCTGCACTAGCTAATAAGATCAGTTCAACAATTCCATTCCTGGGCTTTTCATTCAGTCAACAACATCGTGGGCAAATCTCTTGACATCAGGAAAGCTAATGCACAATCCAATCCAAATTGATCATAGCTTCATCACCGCAGAATGAGCATGTCTCGCGTTCTTCAATTCTTGGGTTTCATGTAAATCCAGGGACTTCACCGGGCATTGGAGCTAATTCATTCTTACCGAACCTTTCCTCATCATAAAAGGTAGCTCGAACTACCCTTCCACCAAAGTACCGACCATCAAGATCAACCAAAGCCTTCGTCGTTTCTTCTGATCTTTCAAACTGCACAAAAATACGAACAGCCTCGTCCACTGGAAAATTGGGTTCTGTAATCTCAAATATTAGAACCCGTGTTACTGTCCCATACTTCGCACACTCTGATCCTACTTCCTCCTCTAGCTCATCATCCACCTCACCAGGACCCACCTTCATTTAAAATTAAACAAGGCAGCCATTCTCATCATTCTCTTCAGGAAAAACCACAAATTATATGCTTTTAACGTCTGAAGATAAGTGTAAGGTTTTCTTTAAAATGAAAAATGCTTCAAGTTCAATCATCAAAACTTATCATTTAGATATCCTTGAGGATAAAATTGTTTGTTGGCTTTATACATAAATACAGTGTGCCATTTTCACATGTGATGTGATCTATCAACTGAAATTGAGTCTTAGTGAACAATCCTTCAGGTCAGATACTTTTTTTTTAACATAATGATGAATCCCTCCCTAAATTAATATTGACTTTCTTTAATTTAATATTTGTCTTAACAGTTAAAGAAACATTAATCTAGTCTTTCTCGTTTCTCCTATTCTAATAAATCAATTACAAGTGCAGGTAAGAGAGGTCTGTTCTCTCCCTCCATTTCTCTCACTCATCAGCTTACACACTGTTATTCCTCCCAACTACCTCGAACCCTCATGGTCATACATTCCATTACAATTAAACAGAAGAAAATACCAAACTCAAAAGCAACGCAAACATAAATGAAAGATTAACAGATTAACCCACTATGATAGTAATGACATTAAAACATAACCTAGATTCACATTTATATAAGTAGTTACTAGGGTAAAGTGAGGGAGGGATCAAACATGTATTAGACGATTCTTAAACCAAGTAATAATCTAAAATATATATATTGGTTTTTCTTCTATATTTACAAGCTCCGCCATATTAGTTTGTCATGAAATTCTACATGCTATTTACAAATAGTGGTCTCTCACGTTCACATAAGGTGTTGAAATAACCTCTTTGATCAAACATGAAATGATGCTTATTTCTTTCTTTCCTTCTTTCTTTCTTTCTTTCTTTTTTTTTTTTTTTTTTTTTTTTTTTTTTTTTTTTTTTTTTTTTTTTTTTTTTTTTTTTTTTGAATGGGAAACAATTTCATTGATTAAATGAAATGGTACAAGAGGGAGAAAACACCATCCAAAGGGATTACAAAAAAAATCTCCAATTGGATAGGAGGGAATTTAAGCTGTAGTTGTTAAAAGGAATAACACTGTTACACGAATAAGGGCCATAAGAAAACCAGAAAAGCTAGTACCTTACCTCTTATAGGAAACTTGAAATCAACTCATGCTCTAGAAGTACCTAGGACCTCTTTACCTTCATGCTCAAAATGCTCAGTGCCAACAAAAATATATGCTTGTCCCCTAATCATTAAAATATGCAAGTAGGAAGGAAACCATCCAGGTAAACATCTGTCACAACCCCCCCCCACACACACACACACACACACACACAAACACGCGAAGAAGTTCAAACTCTAATCCCTATTTCTTTTTAACTCGTATGTTTTTCTCCTAATAATCTTAAATTTCATAATGGCCCTAAACAATGGCTTGACAAAAAGATTTTTGCCTTTTCCCTGACTGTGGTCCAATGAGCTCTTTTACCAGTAATTTTACCAACAATTTGACTTTAGGGCTTATTCGCCAAATCCTTTTATCCTCGCCACAAGGTTGTACATCATCTAGAATTCGACCAGGCCTCTAGCCTCTTCAATTCTCAGTTAGATTTCTTCTTGCTGAAAGCCATGGTTTGGCAAATAACCAGAAAGAACCAATGAAACCCAAGGAAAGCTGCAATATAGCCAGCAATTTCCTATCCAAATATCAGCTTAGAAAGAGGTTCTTTTTTCACTTCCCAGCTTTTTTGCTCAGAATTTGATAGAGTGGTCACACAAGGGCTTCGAAAACAACTAAATTACCTAGCTCAAGAAAACTGTCTATTTTCATTCTTTCCTTCTTCATTTCCGTATGTGCTAGTAACCAGCTTATTATGCATCTCAGAACTTTCTCCACAATATGTCCAGAACTCTCAGTACTATTACCTCACTTCTCTTCCTTAAAATGCCCAATTTCAAGCCTCCATCATCTAGGGCCATGTGGCACAGTCCAGCTGGCTAAAACAACTAAGCATTTCTCTCATACTTCACTCGCAGGAAATTTTCAAATTTCTACCCTTAGGGCATCACCTTTCACAAACTCTGTAGTGCTCCAAACCTTCTCTCAAGAACCCTGAGCACCAATTAAGAATATTTCTACGAGAAAGAGAGCTAGGGAGAATAAATGTGGTAGAGGGCGTCAGGTAGTATGAAAGGTCGTTACATAAGGAGGGGACCCAAGCAACATGAGGGACATCGCGGGTATGATGAATAGGGAAATTTCTATCTAATCTCTGATATGTAACTCTTTTCTAATAAACTTAAAACTTAAAACTTAAAATGATCTAGCAAAATAAGTAAGATTGATGAAGGCCTTATTCTATACAGTACCAGATGAGTAAAGGTGGTAAGTTTTGATTAAGTTTTTGCAAGTTCTCTGCTTTTTAATTGATCTTCACATGGACTAATAAACGGAAATCTATTGCTTATCCCTCGACAATTTCCCACACGGGCATAAATCTATATGCAGCGATGGATTGTTTAGTCCATATCTTATTCCTTATGATAAGTATCGTAGTGTAGTGAAAGAAAGCTTTCAGATATTAAATTTCTTTTTTGAGATATTGGCTGATAAGAATGGTGATTGGCAGATAATAGCCTTACTGCCTAGATAAGAATCCATTCTCCGTAGTGGTCTAACATTGCAAATAGGTCAGCGTATATCATTTGGCAAGCAGTTAAAGGTAAAAATAAAAAATAAAAAATAAAAAGTTAAGAATTGGACCTTCGTCCAGTTGTGGCTAACCAAGATTTTTCTAAAGTGCATGCATTTTAACGATAGATTAAGAGAAGAATCGCGTGCTATAATGGCGTTCGCAACTATCCTACAGACTGCTTAAAGGATGAAGATATAATATAATAAGTTACGGTAAAACTTTCTAGATTGCTCTAATCTAACTAAAGATTCGTAATATTAGAATAGAAATTTGAGCAGTTCCCCGGAAACAAGCTCTGCTATTTCAAATTCATTTCAAATCAACAAAATGTCAGAAGTCTACAACATCGTACCATGTTTCTGAGCATGAGAACCCGAGTGGGTAGTCCGTTGATGTTGACACTCTTCACCTTCTTCTCTGATTTCGTATCATTAGCGTTCACAATTACTCCAGCACGCAAGTCCGTCTTTTTTGCCATCAGAGGGGTGGTAATCCCTTGTTCCTGCTTCCCGAGCCCTTGCCCCTCTTTCCAACCCATCTTAGCCATCATTCTTTGTGCCGCTGTCATCTGCCCACCAGCCCCAACTCCCAACCCACCAGTCTCCGACTTTCCAATGCTGAAGCCGTCTCCGGTACTTGGTGGTGATGGCGATCTCGGAATTGCCCCACTCTTCGCCGCACGCCTTCTCCAAGCTTCCTCCCCTGAAATATTTAACCTGGAATCGGAATATTCTCTTTCCCGCTCCTCTCGCTCTTTTTTTTCCCTCTCTTCCTCCTCTTGCCTACGCCTCTCAAGCTCCTTCCTCATCTCAGCCTCCATGGCCTTCCTCTTCTTCTCCACCCTATATTCCTCGTAGTCATTCGGCCTTGCTGGATCATACTCTTCTATAACTGTCGACGTCACGGCCACCAATGCCGGTTGTGTAATGGCCTCAGCCAGAATCGGCTGAGATGGCTCCACCGGCGCTGACACCGAAGCCTTCGGGTGCGTCGAGGTGGCTGGTTTTACTTTGCTTTGAGATCTGAGAACAGTCGGCGGCGCGAAGACGGAAGATGGTTTACGTAGGGTAGGCGGCGCCATTTTTGTGCTACTCGACCAGACGGTAGAATTGCTGGGCTTATCTTCCTCCGCCGAAGAAGGCGGAGGGAGGTCTCCATACAATCCACCAAGCATATCGTAAGCGTAGCTTCGTCTTCTGTCCTTGGAATCTCTGGAACACCGGAATTTTCAAAATGAAAACTGAATCGGAGAATGGATTTTCCAGTTGACGGTGGACAGCAAAATTTGCAAAACTTGGGAGTACTCGGAATTAGGGCTTTGAGAGGCAGGGATGAAGTAGAAAGAGAGGGTCACACACAGGTAAACGTTGAACATTAAAATGTTGTATGAAGGTGTATAGTATGGATGGGAAAAGTGTTAATAACGAATTCATAGTTGTCCATAATTGCCATGGGCAGATCGACCTCAAAAGAGGAAATATCTAATCGAGCAATGTTTAAGACCAAACCGAAGCGAGGGAGCACCTACCGAGCTAGGTACCAACTGGGTCGAGACAGATGTATGCTCCCTCTACTTCTAGCTAGATCATCGTACGACTTGGCACACACCATAACGTATATAAATAGATGGACTCAGTGTACTAGTTAAAAAAAAAAAAAACTTCTATAAGATCATCTCGACGTCACTTCAAACTAGACACTTACTTTAAGTATCAAAGTGTGCTAGACACGATATCACTTAATGTGGGACCCTGCTTTGCAAAACATAAATGATCTATTTATACAAAAAATCACTTGGGTTGAGTGGAAAAAAACCAATGTGAGATCCCATGCCTGTAGGAGAGGACGAAAAGTCATTTATTAGCGTTGAGTTTGGACTATTACAAATTATATCTCATGAGAGAGTGTGCCAACAATGACGATGACCCTATATCAGAAATAATATCCGCCTGGGCGGTTACAATTACAAATATTTTGTTGTAAAAAAAAAAAAAAATTATATATATATATATAAATTATGTTTTTGCAATATTCTAAAGTTTTGCTTAAAGTTATCATTTTTTTTTTTTTTCCAAAAAAGAAAGAGTGGGTTGATTGATAAAAGAATAAAAAAAAGAAAATAACACTCCAAAATTCTTGGAGAGTCTATAACAGTCAACAACACCGCTTGTTTGTTGATCATGAGTTTATTGTGGTTATTTCTGGTGTAAAAACCCAAAATATTTTAAGCCAAAAATAACAATAATTAATTATTATGTCAAAAAAATTGCAGCTTTTTGCAGGGTAAATGGAAACATCAAAATTCACAACGGCAACAAAAGGAATTTCCTACCAAAAAAGTCCTATAAGAAGCGGGGCACGTTTTTGTTTATAAATACATGGATGTAAGTGAAAATTTCAACTCCAATTTCTCTGGCAACAAAAGATCAAACGCAATTAACAAGCAACAGGAAAGAAGTTCTTACTTTTTTCACAAAATTCTATCACATTTCCACGATTTCAGGTTATTTTTCGCGCTTCTCTGAATTCTCATTCTTTTCCAACGTTGCTCCTCAAACCTTTCTTTCGATCCATCTTAACTTGTTCGAATCCATGCACGTTCTTTTAGGGTTTCGCTGCGGCGACTCTGGATCATTATTTTTCTGTGTGGTCTAGGTGGTTTTTGAGAATTCTTGCTGGGGAGGGTAGTCCAGGTGGTTCGATTTCTGGGTTTGCAGATCTGAGTTTGGCAATTTACCCCCACAATTCACCATGTTTTGGCGCATGGCTGGATTGTCCACAGCGTCGCCTGTGAGTCTCATTTTCTTTATCTTCATTATTCCATTTTCTTGGCTGTAGGATTCATCATTCCTGTGCTGTGGCTTGTGTACTGCGAATTGTTTCTATTTCAGTTCCTATTGGGCAAGAATTTTATCAATATTATACTTGATTTTACACGCGCTTCAATGGGAAGGAAATTGAAGCTGGAGAATGTGGATTTGACTTAATAGCTTCATACATGAAATATGCGATGCGTGGTCTGCAACTTCTCTATTTTCCTTCGTATTCAATATGATTTTCGTGGATATGGTCCGTACCCTTCCCTGTCAGTTCAATACCTTTTCCTGCTCCCATGTATAGGAATAAATATCAAGTGATACAAACTCCCAAAGGAAGTGAAAAAGAAAAAGAACAAGAACAGGAACAAGAAAAAGAAAACAATACAAAACAACAAATGCTCCCATCTTGAAATTTAACCATGAAAATAAATACTGAAAGAACAAAGAGCTTTTTCAACATCTTGGAAAGACTTTGAGAGCTTGCAAACAAAAACTGAAGCTATAAAATAGGCCTCCACCAATCACGTAACACAGAAAGCTACTATATTCTTTCAAAGAAAATTGAATTGACCTTCAACCATGCCATCAAAAAAAAAAACATAGGCAACAACCGCAATGCTCGTAGAAATCAAGGTTGCAACAAGGTGAGCAGACCAAAGAGACCAACCTTTGAGATAATGCCGAACTACTCTTAGCTTCAAGTTCAACGACGGGAGATTTTGATATAAAGAGGAGAGAGAATCCCAATTTGTTTTAGCTCTGAAGGAGGTTTTGATCTTTGTGTTTCTTGTGGCATCATGCTTAGCATACGGAATATTAGTAAGAACTATCTTGAAGGAGAGATTTCTCAATTATTGCCCCACACTCTACACTGCCCCACTCTTTCGAAACCAAAAGCCTGTCAATTAATTAATGAGAAGGTTCATCCCCCGACTGTTCGATAACCTTTCCACTGGATTTTCTATCAACACAGTCATCCCATTAGAGAATTCTCTAAGACCTCTAGTATTACTTGAGATTAATTTCATTGGAAGGATAGCAATAGAAAGCAACTAAGCTTTTAAATGAGGTGATGGAGGTGGAATTGCATGCATCTGAAGACCACAGGTCTCAGTAAGAGAGGTGAATGTACTAGGAACTGGCAAAGTGGACAATGTAGGGGAAACTTCTTTCAATTGATCATCAACTGAATTTAATAAAGGGCCAACAACACTATCTGTAGAAAGAAGAGCAAATGAAGATTCAAAGTTATCATCCACGCAATGATTAACTTGATCCGTTCCCAGTACTTGTGAATTCAACAGAAGCAATTTTGACTCCAAACTACAACTAGATTTCCCATTAGAATCGTGAATCAGTGAAGAAGAAGATGAAAACTCATTACAATTAGAAGAAAACCAGCACCCTTTAGTCACAATTAAATTCGAACCTAGAAGAGAAACTGTCGAGTTACCGAAACTATTGGAAAGACTGAAGCAACGAGGTTTGCAAAGACCTTTGTGAGAGCTACTGGTTGAGACTGTAAGCAAGAGTCTTCAATATAATCTTGGTTGACCTCAAAAAAAAAAAAAAAAAAAAAACAAGTTATACCTATCATAGTGGTTAAGAAGTTGGAGAGAATGTGTAAAGGCAAAAGTGGATGAGAGATAATTAAGCTTCGTGAAGAAACGGATAAATCGCTGGAGAAAGGTATAGAGGGAATGTGGTGCATTGAAGATTTAGAGAAGAGAGTGAGAAAAGGAAAAAAAAAAAAAGATTCATAGAAGACAAAAGAAGATTGAAGTGCCAAACAATGTATTAGTGGTAGAACCATGAAACATGGAGGAGCGAGCAGTGGAAAATCCTGTTGAGTAGAATTGCAAAGGAGTATGCTTGAAGCATGCTTTAATCCCAGCTGGCGTGTCCTTTGCAAAGCCAGTGCCGGCTGTATCAGACACATTTCTTCCATGACCCTGTGCTGAATTTTGCTCGGAGCCTGTTTTTTTTTTTTTTTTTTTTTCAAGCTTAATAACTGCTTTCCAGTGAGTTGTCCGAAGCTACTTTTCCGCTGTTAAGTGGTGTGGCTTTTCATGTCAAAGAGAAACTTCTTTGGGCCAACATGGAGATAGCTTTTCTATTGGGAATTTGGTTTGAATGAAACAAGAGGCTTTCCAAGAGGAAGAAATCAACCACAAGGGGAGTAGGGTTTATGGTTCTAGCTGGTGTTTAATATCTAAAATGAATTTTTTAATCACTGATTTGTTAAAATTTTCGCCAATTGGGAAGCCCTTTTATAATTCCCTTGGCATGGTGGGAACTCCTCATCTCCCACTTTTATATTTTCTTTTTTTGATAATTAAACTCCAGTTTCTATGAAAGAATTTATCTTCCCAGATGTGAATGACTTGGACACATTTTTCTATTGAGTTGGCATTTCTTAAGACATAACAATTCTGAATTTTATAATGTGTTTGTTTCAGGGAATTTAGAATCCAGTAACACAAGTACACTTTTCTTTATTACATTCCCCTAGTTCAGCGAACAGGAAGATCACAGTGCTCCAGCTTTACTTGAGTTTTAATGTAAATGTCTGCATTTTTATTCATCTCATTTTCATTTGTTGCAGATGGAGGCAGTTTTGGATAAGGAAAATTTTACGTTAGAGGAGCTTCTAGATGAGGATGAAGTTATTCAGGAATGCAAAGCACTTAATGGTCGACTTATTAACTTGTAATATTCCCTTTTCTTTGATATATCATGCTCCTTTCCCCCCCATGTTTCTGGTCCATACTTGGCATATCTGTTCTTTTGCTTGGTAGGTTGCTAACTCATGCAGAGAAATTAATTGATGGGATCATGTAACTCTGATTATATTTGACTTTGGTTGTACTTGATGTAACTAGTCATCTAGTAGTGTTGTAATGTTCAACCCATTCTACCAGTTTTTATGTGCTGCTATTTTGTTAGTCAGCCTTTTCAATTTGTGATACATTGATTAAGAAGTGATATTCTGCTGCCTGATGAATTCTCCTCACTAATCAAGGTGAGTGGTTTGCAATTTTAAGAGATTCCCCCTTACGTTCCAGAGGGAATTTGGTCAGAAAACTTAATTTTCATTGTTGGTCTTGCTATTCATGAGGATTGGAGGACAGTTCTAAACGAGTTAGCTTATTTATTTATTTATTTATTATTGAGGTTTGTGGAGGTCATTCTTATTGCTGGCGCTTTTGTTTGCAAATGTCATGCAAATGTGAGAGAGTAGAAGACTGATTGGGAAATTTATTGCTGCAGTTAATAGCTTTGATGGCGTTGTTCCTTTTGATTATGATTAATCTGTGGTGGTTGTATCTGTTTTCCTTGTTTCCAGTGACTGGGGAGTTTTAGTTGTTTCCAGCACGGTTCATCATGTCTTTTCTGCTATGCACATGTTTAAGGTCATCTTTATGGATCTTGCCAGAATTTGAAGTTCACTGGAGTTTCCATTTATGGTTGTCTCAGTCGGCATTTTCTTAGAATCTCATATAATTAGTTGAAGTTGGAGAAAAATGAAGGCTACTTCTCAGCATGGATTGTTTTGTTGTTGGTTAGTTGTTTCTAGCGCAGTTCATCTCTTGGTTTGTTTGGTTTGATTCCACAAGAATTCATTGCTCATCATGGTGTTCTCTCTCCAGGCCTCAATTGTTTTTTCCTTCTATGCTTTATGTTTTCTTTGGGAAGCTTTCTTATTATTAATTTATGTTGTGGAGTTTCTATCGTTTGAGCATTAATCTCTTTTCATTTTATCAATGAAAAGTTTCCTTTCTTGTTTAAAAAATAAAAAATAAAAAATTAAGCTGACTGTCACAGCAGCTAGCTCATATAATAAATACCACCGACTTTAATGGTTGGTCAGATAATAGAAACGAGAATAGATCAATACAAGAAATTGACCAAGAGGGTTTCACCATATTTAGTAAATTGATGGTTGTTGTGCTTGCTTTCATGCCTTGCAGTTTGAGAGAAAGAACTCATATTGAACAGTTAATCAGATACATTATTGAAGAAGCTCCTGAAGAGGCTGAGAAGAATCGAAGTTTTAAGTAATTTTTGCTCGCACATTCCCAATGCTATTCCTCGTGCCTTCTCTCTCTCTCTCTCTCTCTCTCTCTCTCTCTCTCTCTCACATTTTAAATTTGGTTATTCTCATGTATTCTTGCCCAGGTTTCCTTTTATTGCTTGTGAGATTTTTACTTGTGAAGTGGATATAATTCTCAAAGCTTTGATGGAGGATGAAGAGGTGGAGAACTTGCTTTCTTTGCCCTATTAAGTGATAAATGATGAAGATAGACCAATTACTGATTTCGTTGATATGGTTGTCTGCAGTTGATGAACTTGTTGTTTTCCTTCCTAGAACCCAAGCCTTCTCATAGCACCCTACTGGCTGGCTACTTCAGCAAGGTATCACTTTAACAATATTTTAGTTCTGAATTTTCTTCTGCATATTCTGTTAGCCGTATAGCCAAATTGTACAATCTCAAGTAAGTAACAGTTTTTCCCTTGTTTCACCCACCTTCTATGTCTTACATGGGAAATATTTTTGGTATATATGTTATTAATCTTTCTTCATTGGCAGGTTGTCATATGCTTGTTGTTGCGGAAGACAATTTCTTTTATGCAGTATGTTCAAGTAAGTTTGCATACATTTTCCCTTAGATTTTCCGTCTGTTTTTCAAGAGTTGAAAGATTGAGACATTCTCAGTTTTACTTGACCTTCTACATTTTATGCATGACCGAAGTATTATACAACATGGGTATACCGGGTAAAGCTGTATTTCATCTGTTTGATGCACATACTCTATGGAGGGAACAAGGGTTTCATTAGACGATGCTCTTGTTTACTAAGCTTAGATTGGGGATAATGATCATAAAGAGCTAGATTCTAGTTAAATTTTGTATATTTGGATGTCTCTTATCAAAAAGTTAGGTGATGAGTCATATATGCCATTTAGTTTTTACTAATTTATTACTTTCAATATTTCTGAAAATTATTTATTGCATTTTTTCTCAAGACGTTGCTAATCATCCATTGCTTACCATTTAGCTCTGTATAACTTTTCCAATAGCATTTTGTAATGTTTTCAAATGAAGTAACATCAACATTTGGGTAGTATCTTTGGGAAAAAATTAATGCAAACATGTTAAAAAATTGAGGAAGATTTTTTACCAACTTGTTGGCCCCTCAATGTAGATCTATGTCCGAACTTTTTGAGTGCGTCTTTGTCTTTTGAGGTTATGTGAAAAGCTTCCATTTCATATTTTTTTAGTTCTTTTTGTTCAAATAATAAATCTTTTCTATCTTGGTTCTTGTTGGAGTGCTTCTCATCCAAAGAAGATAAAGCAACGTATACGACTGTCTTAATGCTAATGATATACTTTGCTTGTTAACTGATCACTCACATGCCTTTCCAGGCACATCAAGCAATTGTAAAGAAGCTAGTTGATCTGATAGGAATTACTTCCATCATGGAGGTTGGTTGTTGGTCACCGTTCTTTGTTGTATCTGGTATTTTAACTCGTTTTACATTAATGGTTTATGTTTGTTGTAATATGGTATCTGAATTAGTGGTTTGCACTCCTGTGGTTACTTCTACTCTTTGGGTTCTTTTTTTTTTAAAAAAAAATTAAAAATTATACAGTCAGAGCAACACCTTTGGAGCATTAGTTCCTATGTGCATCTTATTATCTCATTGGTTCTTATGGTCTTATGTTTTCAGACTACGGTCATCATCCTTCTTCTATACAAAAACTGTTGTGCTTTGACATCTTTACTGAATGTACATTGTGAATCTCATAGGAAAGGTTCATTCTGGACAGGTTTTGATAAGGCTTCTTGGTGCTGATGGGCATCTGTATTCAAGCTATACAGAATCAATGAAGTGGATTGAAGAGACTGGTGTTCTGGAGTTGATAGTGGACAAGTTCAGATCTTCAGTAAGTAGCTTTTTGAGGAGTTTATTCCTCCCCACAAGAATGTTTACATGCCTTTTTATTTTGTGGAGACTCTTTTTTCTTAGATAATTGTTAACTTTTCATCTTTTGCTGCAATCCTTTTCCCTTCCACCAAAGCTGGCCAGTTTTTCTGGGACCTTATTAGAGCTATTAGTAAAATAGCATCCCCCAATTTTGTCACATTTCTCCTTTGGACCCTTGTTGTTGGTGGTATCCATACTTCTGATAAGAGTCCAATGGCGAACTTCTCACATACAAATAATGATTAAATGGGTATATTAGTAAAATCTTTATTTTCTTTTCATTTCTGACAAACATCCAATTAAAGATTTTAAACCATACATTTTTTTTTTGGATAAGAAATGAAAAATATTTCTCATTTCAAACAAGATTAAAATTTCGTGCTTTAATATTTCAAACCAAATCGTTTAGGATAATTTGTTGTATTATCTCAGGCAGAAAGAGCTTCTCCTTGCAAATCATGTATACATAATTTCCCTTCTCCGTTGTCAAATATATGCTCCTTATTCAAAATAAACATCGTTTTTGTTTATTTCCTTCCTTTGCACAACAAAATTGAAACAGAAGGAAGCTTCCTTTTGTTTTGGAGTTTTTGTTTTAATATATATTTGCTTAGTGTGTTCTTTGTCAATGATATGACTATATAGACTTAGTTGAAAAATCAATGGATCAGTCAAAGGAGGTTCTTTAACGCGATCAATTTTTCAGGATTGTTCGATAGTTCATTCTAATGCATCTGAAACACTTTGTGCTATTACTCGATTTGCTCCTCCTGGTATTATGGCTAAAATTTCCAGCCCAAGGTAGTATTTTCTCTTCTTGAGTTTTTAATATGCCTGCATTTGTCATTGGCCACTAATAATGGTTCTCTTTTTCAAATCAGTTTTGTAGGAAGACTGTTTCGCCATGCCTTGGAAGAGTTACGACCACCATCTGTTTTAATAAACTCATTATCTGTGTGCATATCTTTGTTAGATCCTAGGAGGCTAACTACTGGAACAGCTTATGCATACAATCGCCAAATAACTCGTGGACCTACAGTTTCAGCAACTATGGAGACTGTAGAAGGCATGTTGGAGAGTTTAGGTATTGCATTGGCCATTGGGCTGTGTTAAGTCAATGACTTTACTTATTACGCCTCAGTAATTGAAGGTATTAATTGCCATGAATCATGTGAATCATCCAATTTGATTACTTGGTAGTTTACTTGCTGGGTCTTCATTTCCAAAGAACTTTATTCTTCACGGTTTTTGAAGTCATTTTTGTTTTTGTTTGCCTGGAGAAACTAGATTTGATTTAAGTAATGAAATGTACAGAATAGGAATTGAAGACGAGAATATGTAATCTTGCTTGCTTGGGTTATAACTTTTTACGAGGGATGTTGAATAGTGTGCTGGTCTCTATCGTTCAGGTAGGTTGCTCAAGCTTTTGGATGTTTCTTCATCAGATGAAGTTTTGGTTACTGCATACGGAAAGTTACAGCCACCTCTTGGGAGGCATCGTCTGAAGGTATCTTTCATTCAGTATAAGTGAATATAGGGATACCATAAACTTGATACTTAAATCATTAGTTTATTTTTAAAAGAATGAATCTCGTTGAAGAAAAGGAATATAGGAAATGGAACCCTTCAAGGTGGGTTGTTGACATCTTGTCACCTCTTTTTTCTAAGCTTTTTTCCCTCTTAATGAAAGTATGGCGTTTCCTACATAAAAGTTAAGTGTATATGATAGGTAAAAGACATAAAGAAGTTTGCTCTTGATATAGTTAGATTGTTGCCCACGTCTTTTCATGGGTATTGAATGAAATGATTATTTTTATTCATAAGTACTAAAAAAATGCATGATTAGTCTTTCCTTCTTTATTTTATTTTTAACGTGGCATATTAAAAAGAAAAGGAAAATCTTGAACATTAGCAGAACCGGTTTCATTAAGAGGAATAAAGGTACCTTTAGAAGGTGAACTGGAATTGAAATGAAACCTGTACTTTAGGTGAGAGGTTGTAGAGCCCAAAGTTCTGAAGGGAATCACAAGAATTGTTTCAAGAAAAGGGCTACATTTTTTGTGAGATCCAACATCAGTTGGAGAGGGGAACGAAGCGTTCCCCTTATAAGGGTGTAAAAACCTCTCTCTAGAAAACATGTTTTTAAACTGTGAGGCTAACGGCGGTACGTAATGGGCCAAAGCAGACAATATCTGTTAGCGGTGAGCTTGACCTGTTAAAATGATATCAGAGCCTGATATCGGCGGTGTGCTAGCTAGGGCGCTGGGCTCTCAAAGGGGGTGGATTGTGAGATCCCACCTTGGTTGGAGAGGGGAACAAAACATTACTTATAAGGGAGTGGAAACCTCTACCTAGAAAATGTGTTTAATAATAATTGTGAGGTTGACAGTGATACGTAACGGGCCAAGCGGACAATATTTGCTAGCGGTGGGCTTGGACTATTACATTTTTTCTGCCCAAATTTTTCTATACTGTGACCACCCTCCCTCCACCGTTGATTTTCACACCCTCCACCATCCCTTCTCGTACTAAACCCCTCCGATCTTTTCTAAATTAATTTAACCGACCAAGGAGTTCTTGTCCCTTCAATNAAAGAAGCTTTTCTCCTTGAAAAATGTCTCTCGAGTCTTTTCAACTACTGGATTCCAGAAAGAGGGAGCCCCCAGTATAGTGGCCTAAGGGTATACCTAGACACGATACAACAGAGATATATAAACAAATTCACATGAGAAATACAGGCCTATTTACCCAGTTTACCTTCATCATAATTGATCTCGACATAGAGCACTTCTCCCTATTAACATGAAGACCTGACGGTAATTCAAAGGCTTGTAAAATTTGACAAATGTTTTAGGAAAGACTCGTTTATGCCTAAAAAAAATGAAGATGGTGTCCTTGGCAAACTGTAAACTAGAAATAAGAACAAAATTATTTTTTATTTTTTGTTTCTTTGTTTTGTGCTAATTTTCTTGTTGGTTATTTTTTTGTTTTGTTTGATTTCTGGAGGCTTCTGCTTTCCCCTATTGTATTTTCTTTTCTCCCTTTTCGGAGGTTGTTTTTTCAATCATCTTGTATCTTTTCATCCATGAATGAAAATTTGTTTCTTGTTGAAAAAAAAAAGATGTATCACCCCGTTTGATTCTCCTCATGGCAAAAGTTTTTTCTCCCTTGGTCTGCCTTTTATCAATAGGCAGTTCCCAATCCATGTTCCCCACTTGAATTCACGATCTCTTTTTCTACAAAATCTTATTAAAAAAACTCGCAGAATACATTGCTGCAAGTGTTCTCAAAGGCAATCTTAATAGACTCTATCTTCTTAGCTCATAATTCTTCTAAAGCCTCATTTGCCCATTAGAACCTGATCAATGATTTTTCCTCCACTCATGATGAAGGTTACTTGTGGGAGTTCCCTTTTTACCTTTATGGTGAACGTCATAGATCATATGAAGTAAGTTGTTATGGTTATATACTTTAAACACAAGGCCAGGTGTTGTGTTAATGGCTAAATACTTTTTGAGCTTTCTTTCTTTTCTTTAAATTTACATAGGTAAATATGCCTTTTAACAAAGAAAGAGAAGGTAAAGAGGGCGCAATATTTAAGACCCATAAGCATTGTAACACGTCTTTATAAATTTATTGCTAAGACTAAGCTGATAGATTGAAGAGAGTCCTTCCTAGTACCGTCTCCTGTTCCTAGGGAGCTTTTAATGCAGGTCAGCAAATTTTGGACCACATTCTTATTGCTAATGAAGCTATCGAAGACTAGAGGGAGATATAAGAGGAGGGGTGATCTTTAAAATTGAATTTGCAAAAGCTTATGATCATGTGGATTGAAACTTCCTGGATAGAGTTTTGGGGAAGAAGGGTTTTGAAGTCAAGTGGAGAACTTGGACATGGTATTGTGTCCGTTCAACAAATTTCTCTATTTTTATTTTTGGGAGACCTAGGTAAGATTTTTGCCACTCGGGGAATTAGGCAAGGTGATCCGTTATCACATTTCCTTTTTTCTTAATGGTGGACATCCATAGGAGGCTTATGTAGAAAGAAGTGGAGGGTGTGATTGAGGGTAATTAGGCAAGGTGATCCGTTATCACATTTCCAATATTCCTAAGAAGGTGAAGTTTTTTGCATAGCAAATTTTACTTGGAAGGTTAACACTTTAAATTGCGTTTCAAAGAAGAACTCTTCCTTAGTTATGAATTTGCAATGGTGCATTATCTACCGGAGGAAAAAGGAGGATCTGTCTCTTTTACTGTGGGAGTGCTAGTTTGCTAACTTCCTGCTGGGTCGGTGGATGATTTCTTTTGGTGTTAGCGGGGCTCGTAATAGAGAGATGGGTGGTTGTTTCAGGAAGAGTTGCTCTTACAATACTTCCTTTAGGGAGAAAGACAGTGTGTTGTGGCAGACTAGTTTCTTTGCTCAATAGAATTTTTAGAGAGGAAGAGAAGTCAGGTGAGGAGGTTTGGGAATTAGTGAGCTTCATGCTTCTTTGTGGGTGTTGATCATGCGACCCTTTTGTATTTATGATCTTAGCCTTGTCCTTTTGGATTGGAGCCCTTTTATGTAGTTAGTGTTTTGGCTCCCGCTCTTCTTTTGGGCTTGTTTTTTTTGTATGCCCTTATTTTCATTCATATTTTGAAGAAAGTTCAGTTTCTTACGGGAAAAAAAAAGCATCGAACGGGTTGATAGAAATATTTAAAGAAATTGGGATACTTGGTTTTTGTTTTGTCTTCTTTGAGTTTTTTGCTCCTCATTTTGCTAGTCTTCTCTTTCTACCATTTGGCCAATTAGTCGGGATTTTTGTTGCACCGTTGTTTCTCTGGGATCTCTACTCTTGCATATTATGTTTTTCAACAAAAGGTTTTGTTTCTTATTAAGACAATGTTTCACTGATTGTTCCTTGATATTGGTTTTTCCAGATTGTAGAGTTCATATCGGTCTTACTTTCGGTGGGTGGCAAAGCAACAGAGGAGTTGATTAATCTTAGAGCAATCAATCGAATTGTGGACTTGTTCTTTGAGTAAGTTTCTGTATTTCTACTGCAACTTGATTGTTGATCGATCCACAATGACATTTGCTTCTTTATGACAATAGGTACCCATACAATAACTTTCTGCATCACCATGTAGAGAACATTGTAGTGTCATGTTTAGTGAGCAAGAATTCTTCACTTGTAGAGCATGTTCTTCATGAGTGTAATCTTGTGGGGAAGATACTGAATGCAGAAAAGCATTTCACTTTGCCAGTTGGTCCGAACAAGGTACAGTCCAATTTCTGGTGATGTTTGGTCTTACGGAAGTTATGCATATATGCAAAAATTATGATTGCTTTTCTCGAGAAAAACAATGCGATTGAGAGGAGGCTTGGGAGGCTGTTATTTTTAATGTTTGATGTGGAGTTCCTTCTTGAAGGCTTTTCATAATTGTTAATGTTTTCCTGTTGTAACCCCAATTCAGTTGGGCCCTTCTCTGATTACTTCCTATTAGAATGAATTTTTGTAAAGTCCCGGGAAGATTTTAGACACTCCATTATCCTTAATAAAATTCTCTGTTTCCTACTAAAATATTATGATAAACCATCTACCTAGGACATTATTTCTTTTTTCCTTAATTGTTGCTCCTGAAAGAATCTCTGTTTCTTATTTTTCCAACTTGTTCTTCAGCCAACTGTTTCTGCAGAAGGTAAAGCACCACCTAGGATAGGGAACATGGGTCATTTAACACGTATATCTAACAAACTTGTTCAACTGGCAAACAACAGCAGTGAGATTCGATCACATTTGCAGGTCAGTTCTATTTTTTGAATTTGTAATGACATCACTGCAATACTTGAATTTTCTCATGTTTCTTTTTAACAGGATAGCACGGAATGGAGTGACTGGCAAACAAATTTCCTTTCAAAGCGTAATGAATTGGCAAATGTCTACCATTGGGCGTGTGGGTATGTCTTTCTTTTGCTATTTTTCACTTCCTTTTATTGCAAGTATCAGCACAACATGTAGATCAAAACTGTTTCCGCCTTAAGGCGACCCGAGATTGAGGAAGAAGAGGAAGAGAGTGAGGAAGAGATTGAGGAAGAAATGGAGGATGATTAAGTATTATGGGCCACGAAGGAAGGACTGAAGTGATTATGATATGCAATTAATTACTTTGTTCTTTTCTGAATTTTAATTGGCATATGCTTGAATCGATACATTGAGCTGTTGGAATTCAGGGATCATTGTTGCGTCAAATGACTGAATTTGCAAATATATGTGACCAAGTACAATTTGAACTGATTTTTGAATTGGTGTTTTCCTGAAAAAGATAGATCAGGCTCGTTAATATATTCAGGCACTCAGAAAGACCATGCTTTTGTTTAGGATCTTGATGTCAACAATAATTTGTCTGACTTTTCAAGAAGCTTTTTCATTTTTTTACCTTTACTGGCTATGATATCAATAGTTGAAGAGAGAGAGAGAAAACAAGTTTCTAAAAATTGCCAGTTGATTGTGTAATTCTCATCATATTTTTTTACTATTGAAACACGTGTAACCTTCATTAAGATTTTTGCATTCAAATCTTATGTTGGCTTTATTCTTGTCATTTTATCATTGTCCGATTTATATTTGTTTACTTAACTTCTTCTATTGTTCGAGTTAACAAGTTAAAAAATTACAAGTTAGTTTTTGTACTTTGAGGTTTGTATCTATTTGGCCCCTGAACTTTTAAAAGTATCTAATAGATCTCTAAACTCTCGATCTTGTAATCTAATAAGGCTAGTAATTCCTTGATAAATTTGAAAATTTGAAAAATAAATTGTTCTATTAGCTATAAAATTGAATTTTGTCTAATGGAACCCTAAAATTTTGATTGTGTCTAGAAGAACTGTAAAATTTAAAATATTCAAAAGTCGAAAGACCAAATAGACACAAACCTCTAATTTAAGTGCTAAATTTGTAATTTAACAAAAACAAAAAATATCTTCTATTATTTGAGTTAATGTCACCATGATGTTGAGTTATATTTATGCGCTTAACATTGAACTTTCTAGCTTAATATGAAATGATTACTTCCAATAGGCGCCCAACAGGACTGCAGGATCAAAGTAGGGATAGTGATGAAGACGATTACCAGGAAAGAGACTACGATGTTGCAGCTCTAGCAAATAATTTGAGCCAGGCTTTTAGACATGGCATTTACAGCAATGATGATATGGATGAGGTACTGAATTATTTTGTACTACTCTTGCCTGTACTTCTAATATAATAGGGAATTCATTCCGAGTTCTCAATTGCAAGATAATAAATAGGATGTGAGTAGTGCATGTTTCCTCTTGTCAAATTTTAATCCGGAGTGAAGCTGATAAATGAAATTGCAAAGAAAATGGATGATGAACAGATGCTCTTTTTCAGATAATCCACACTTTTCGAGTTGAAGCATATGAGAGAATATTAATATTTGATTCCTGATGAGAAGTTAATTGGATGCTCTCACGTGATTGTTTTGTATCCTGTAATAAATCTTCAAAGCATTTATGCTTCTAGTTGAACCGTACAAATTATTAGATTAAATGAACTTAAATATAGTTTTTATTAAATTGCTTGTTCATCAATTCTTTTCTTACTCTTCAGGCTCATGGATCACTTGAACGTGATGATGAGGTATGGCAGTAGTAATTTACCTTTACTTCTAGATTGGGAAAGCCGATCTTCTAAACGAACTTGCATCAGTGCATTTTAAATTGTGTTTATTTATCCCTTGAAAAAGTACCATGTTTAATTTCTTTCCTCCCAATAAGAGTTCATTACATCCCCTTCTGCTGCTTGCTATGGTGCGAGGATTTTTTAAATTCAATCACTTGCATATTTATAAAAGACCATCATGAATCAACTATTATGCTCTTGTCATGTCATAATAACTTGGTGGAAGGCTTTGTTAGAATTTGCTTATGTATTGGTCGACAGTTATGGTTTGGGTGTCTTACAATGATTAGCCTAAGGTTCAGCTTATAATAATTGTTGATTTTGAATATATGTGTGTGTCTACATAAATGTCCTCATAAAGACTTTGATTTAGAATATATGGGCTAGATATTTCAGATATTTGCATTGGATTGGCTAATGTTCATATTTTTCTTGTGGGATTGTCTTGGAGTTGTCATTTGAATGTAGATGTGTTCCTGATGTAAAGCTTTTGCAGGATGTTTACTTCGATGATGAATCTGCTGAAGTTGTTATATCCTCTCTGCGTCTTGGTGATGACCAGGAAAGGTAGGTAAATCCAATCGACGTAATAATTTTTCTTCTTTAACATATAGTTACCGTGAATCTAGAACTATTGCGTTACATTTGTGGAAATGGCCTCATTCTGCTCAGGATCAATAGAGTATTGGCATGGAGTGCTTCTGTTTCTTGTAAACTATAGTAATTCTGTAGGTTTTTAGTTTTTTCCCAGAAAAATGAGTTGACTTACATACTAAGATATCTAATGTGATGGTAACCAATCTTTTTCACTGATGCATTGATAAATAACGATTAAGGGTTGACATTTGTACCAAGGAAAAATAAACATTGAAAAATGAAAAGGCAAAACCAGGAGATGAAATGAAACCAAAGAAGAGAGGGGTAGAAGGTCGGTTTAAAGGGGAGGGAAGGGTTGGAGAACAAAAGGACATTTGTGGAAACGGGATAAAACGACCAGTTTGTGAAAACACTTTGGGGATGATAGTTGGTGGGTTGTTGTTGAGGTCAGCACAAAAATCTCTCTTCATTAGGATTTTAGCATTGTTTAATTTCTTTTCAAAATAATGTCCAAACTCATTTATTTTGTGAAAAAGTTTTTAGCCTTATTTTAAAATTTCTCCTCTTTCTTTTGCTTCTCGTAGCATCAATATTCTAGTCATTTGATGTATTAGTTAAAGTTGGTCAAGTAATCAAGTTTAGTAGACCTTATTTTTTTAGTAGTGACATATATCCATGCCCTGAAAGTTTCCTCCCATTTTTTCCTCCAATCAATTAATTAAGATGTTTTTTCTGTTTCATTCAGTGGCTCTCACTTTACAAAATCAAATTGGTTTGCTTTTGAGAATGATTTAATTGCAAGTGATCGTACAACTGGCTTGCTTGCCTCTCCTTCCCCGGATATTAAAGAGACTGGAGTCGTCAATGATGGTGCTAATGACGTTATTGTTGGCGAAGATGATGATTTGGATGACATGGCAACATCCTCTCCACAATCACAGGGCACGTCAGAACACTCGCGCAATGTAACAAGCAATTCAAAAGAAATAGCAGCCAACGAGACTGATAATCCACCTGAGTGGGTCGAATGGAGGGAGACCTCAAATCACGAAGGTTCCTCCTTAACACTTTCAAATGGGGAAGTTGCAGTAATTTCAGAGGTTATTGAATCAGATGCCACACAGCCCTCTCTGTCCGTAGGTGCATTGGCCGGTAAAGAAGCTGCTGTTGGACAAGTACCAGCACATACCAATAATGATAAAAATTTGGATTCTTCAGAAATGTCGAAATGTGTAGAAAATATTAATATAAAATCAAAATCTATCACTAGTGAGGAAATAGTCAATGATGCAGGAGCCAATGATGTAACAATAGGCCACGAGAGCGCCAAGGAAATGAAACGCTGATTGATATATGTTTGGCATTGATCCCGTGGGTAGATGAACCCTTGGGCATGTTTGCTCGCTAGGGAATTGTATTCTTAGATCCTTGTGTACATCAATCAATGGGGCAAGGTGAAGGTATAATAGGTTGATTATTCTTTCTCACCATCTGTAGAAAAGTTAAGGTCTCATGTCTGTCACTCACGTTATCTCTATGAAGAGGGAAGGTTCTGATGTTAGATATTTGTTGTGCGGGTAATTGATTAGTATTTTAGGTCTTAATGGGCGCCCAATAAAGGTTTATCTTAATTCTTGTGCCTGCAAACTTTACCTCTATTTATGGAACCATTGTGCAGAATATTGATGATTGTGAGATTAAATTCGAGTACGAGTTGAACAAATCGGAAATGTATGGTACAAGAACACAGCATGAGCCGTTGAAGCTGGGTATTGATTATCTTTTGTCTATTCATGCCTTTTGAAATGACTGCATATCGTCAAAATATAGAAGCCTAGGGGATGATTATCTTCCCCATATGATATTTCCTTTTATAATCTTTGATAAATGTTGCATTTATTCGACTAATATCAAATCTTAGATTGCTAAGGGATGATTAATTTTGTGTTGGCTTATTCTTAGCATAGGAGGGTAGGGGTAAGTAAATTGCATTACATGAAAACGAAATACCATCAACTTCTTTTCAAAGCAACTTAAGTACAGTGTACTTCATGTTAATCACCAAAGGTCTCCCTTACTGCTATGATTGAATTCTGTGCATTTATGTTCATAATTGAGACTTGCTTGTGCCAATGATTAATGAAGAACTAGCTTCTCCATATATTTTTTTTGTATGGTCTGCTTCATTGGCTTTAAAATATCTGCGAGATTTGCTTGTTATTCATTAAATGTCAGGTTGTTAAAGCCACTTGGATTAGGTTATAATTTATATCTGATAATATGGATGACAGACTCCTTTGTTTGTGGGGTAAAGTTTAGTCTGTCGGTGCCACAGTGTGACCTTTTTTGGTGCCTCACTTTCTTCATTTTGAAAGCTATTGCATGCAGCAGGTTGGTCTTCTTTTTCTGTTTCTGTTTCTTACTGTATAATGGATTATTTGGCATTATATATAACCCAGCAGTACGAACCACAATTCCACAAGACACCATGGACAAAGGCGCCGCCGGTAACCCATAAGTGAGACCTGATATGATCCACTGGCTGCTCATAACATGTTTGGCACCATAAATTATTTGATGTAGGTGCTCCTAACCTAACCATTTGATGCACAGGTAGATGGTCGCTTTAATTCTGATATCAGAATTATCAGTCGCATTATTCTAACATTTTAAATAATTTTTTTAGCATTCGTTACATTTTAATGACCGATGATTTATTCTACTTGTATCTTTATTCGAAGTTATTGTTTCGTGTGTTTGAAAATAGAGTTCTTGATGTAATTGATTCTGCTGCAAGCAACACAAGGTAAGGTGGTTACCATTAAATGTTTTAGGTTGCTTGAAAATCTTCTCTATTGACACAAGCAAGAGACTCAAGACCATGGTGACAGGGAAACCAAACCAATCATGATTAGTTGTGTGCTGTAAAATGATTCTCAGCTTAAATTAAATTAAACTGATAAAGTATTTTGAATATTTATGTTTAATATTTTGAATAATTATATTTATTCTGTCGTGTCAACCCTAAAATTATGTAGCGGTTGGAAGTCTAGTCTTTTAATTTTCAATACAATATTTATTACTAATAATGTGAGGTTCTTAGAAATGATGCTTTAAAATAAGTGAAGTTTATGTAAAAATAAAGCTAAAATATTATGTACAAAAAATAATTGCAGAAAGCACCCTGTTCTTCCCTTTATTCCCCCCTTTAACAGCCTTCTCACTTGAAAAGAAAGCTCTAATTAAGGACTTCTATTTATTTATTATTAAAAAAATATTAAAATGGATTTTTAAGAGTTAAAAAATATCCTCTTACGAAATATGCCCAACAGATATGAATTGTACTTAAAAAAAGAAAAAAGAAAAAAGAAAAAGGGTTATATAAAAAATTGATTAGAAATCATCAAACTTTTGGCATCTTTTCAAACCACATGTTGAAAATGAAAAAGAAAAATAAATAAAAATGAAAAAAAAAAAAAAAGAAGAGGCTGAATGTGATATAATGCTGACTTTATGGACTTAAACTCGTCCGAGTTCGCTCAGCTCGGCTCGGCTCAATCCTTGTATATTTTAATTTGTCATCTTTAAAAATTAAAATGGTTTCCGCCAAAATGAATTGAGGTACAAGTTTCCAAATTCCAAAACAATTTTTTAATTATTTTGAAAATTTTATTCAAATAATCCGACAATGGCCCCAGCCAGCTGCTTCCCTCTTTTGGCTTATTGGTTGCTCCACTCTCTCCCTCCATCCCTCTCTCTCTCCCTCTCCCTCTCCCTCTCCCTCTCCTGCTTTTGCTTTTTGTGGTGTCACTCTGCGAAAATTTCTAAGCTTTCCCTTCGTCTAATCAAAACCCTAGACTTGTTTTTCTGCTTCGGATATTTCTAACCCATTGTCTGTTTGGGTAAGTTCGCTCTCACTTTATGCTCTGTTCTGTGAGCTGCATTTTGAGCTTCCATTGTTTCTTTGTTGGTTTCTTTTCTCTATGCTGGAGCCATTTTGTTGCTACTTTTCACTTTGGTTGACCGGTTTTCGGCTTTGAAACTTCATTTGTGCAGGATCCAAGTGTGGTGTTCGGTTCTCGAGTACTGTGCTCTGTGTTTAACTGAAAGCTTCGGTGGTTTTTGAATTTTGCAGCGTGTTTCTTGTCGTTGAGCTGAAGAAATCGCTATGAGCTGCTGATGGGAATGTAGAGAAATTTTTTTGACGGCTTTAGTGAGCTTGGTGCAGCTGAGTTTTAGTTGTTATTTGGTGTTTCTTTTTTTTGATGAACTGAGAAGAATTGAAGCTTGCCTTGTCTCAATCGAATTCAGCTGGTGAGCATAATAAGAAAACAATGGCCTCTTGCCACGTTTGACCAACCTGCCATTTTGATAGAATTCTGCTCGATTTAACGCTAATGGAGGGTTCCGTAGACCAACCTGTGGAAGCAAAACTAGAAGATTCCACGTCTCAGTCAGGTCCAGTTCCCATACCGAGTGAAGATATAGTTGTGAAGTGTCCCAATTCGCAAAAAGTTCCTGCCGTCATTTCTTCAGGAAGTGCAAAAAGAAGTATAAAATCTGGGAAGCCTTCTGCTGCAGATTCAACGAAGGCTAGCTCACTTAGAAGGAGCATTGAATCTAAAGCAGCTTTAGTTTCCTCTTCTGATCTCACTAAATCAACTGCAAGTGTGTCTTCTCAAGTTTCAAATTCAGTTCCAGTGACGCGAAGAAAAAGTACTGGAGGGTTGCCGGAGAACTCTTCTGCATCTTCCTCAAGAAAGCCAAACAATGTCAGCAAGGCTGCAGCCGTAAGGACTCCAGCATCTGAACCAACAAGGCGTTCTCTCCCAGAACTTAAAAGAAGCTCATTGTCTTCAGTTGTTTCCAAGAATTCACCTCGAAGTAGCGTACCTGAGACTAGAAAATCTGCCCCATTTTCATCAGCAGGCAGGAGTTTGAAATCCTTGAACCCATCTGATACACTTGGAAAAGAAACCGGTAAAGATGGTCCTAAGAAGTCTACAATTAAGTCAACACCATCAATCTCCTCATCTTCTTTAATCTCAAGAAGGCTCACCTCCACTTCCCTGGACAGCAGCGCCAGTAGTAGCACTGTAGCTAGAAAGACAGTCTCAAAGGTTTCCTCTCCATCAGCTCGATCCCCTGCAGTTTTAAGTGGATCAAGATCTGCATCTTCATCCACCACACCCCTTGAAAAGAATTCTAGATTATCGGGACAAAGAAAGGCCAGTAGAACCCCTGAAAGCAGAGATTCTCGTTTTGTTGTTCTTCCTCAGGTGGAAATAAAACCGGGTGATGATTTGGTAAGAAACTTTGTCAAAAATAAGAGTTTTATGATCAAGTTTTCTACTTGAAGGCTTGAACCTAAGGCTTTGAAGGGTATTTGTAAAACCTGAAACATTTTATTGTCTAAGGCACTGGAAGACAATTTCCATACAGCGCATATTTGTGCAGACCAACAAACAGATGCTTTCTTTTGGAAAATTATACATTTCTATCACTGCCCTCTGTTTTGATTGGTTCTTCTAATTTTTGGTTTAAATAAAAAACAATGACATCTTTTTTCTTGGCATACCAAGGACGATTGATTAGTGACCAATGAATTGAACTCTGTTTGTATGATGTTTCATCCATTTTCTGAAAAATGTTTTATCTAAGTTTATGCTTGTTAGCAATCATGGATGTGAAAATACCATTATTAAGTTTGTTTTGATGTTATGCACCAGAGGTTGGATCTGAGGGGCCATAGAGTCCGCAGTCTCAATGCTAGTGGGTTGAATTTGTTGCCTAATTTAGAGGTAAGCCTTGCGTATTCTTGACATACTGCATTTGTAAAAACTGCGTGTAAAGGATGGTAGCAGATAGCTCTTGACACTGGAGAGTGTCGAGCTCTCGTTGTCTTTTCCTTATTTTCCTTTGAACTGATTAATAATGCTGAGGTATATTTCAGTCGTTTCCCTTTCGTGAAGCCCATTTTTTGATCAATAGAGTAGTTGGCATGCATATGTTTCTCTCTATGGAGGTGCAAGGGATCATGACATCTTTCCATGCTATCCTACACCTTAGAAATAACTTCACTGAAAAGGAATACAAGAGCTGTAATTAAAACGATTACCCAGTAGGTTCCTATTTGACTCGACATAAATGTATCTTCAGGTGAAGATATGAGCATTTTTGTTCCTCTCTCTCTAGACTGTCGGTTATTGTATCTTCTCATCTTCCATCTCTATAACCAATTTCTTCAATCTTGCTTCACTGGTAATTTTAAATGTATGATTTGATTTACTGATTTTGTTTTCATAGTTCGTTTATCTGAGGGACAACCTCTTGTCAACCTTGGAAGGAGTAGAGATACTAAAGAGAGTCAAGGTTTGTCATTTCATAATATCTATATTTATTTCTTTTGAGGTGTATTTCTTATGGGCAACGAACTAAACACAATTAATCAATATAACAGTTCTGAAACTTGGCAACATTGTCCTATGCTCATAAATTTTCTACTGACATTTTTGTTTTAGTTTTAATGTCTTAAGTTTCTCCTTTTCCGCTTTCTTTCCAGGTTCTCGACTTGAGTTTCAATGATTTTAAAGGACCTGGATTTGAGCCTCTGGATAATTGCAAAGCTCTTCAGGTATCTCACACGTTTTTTTTTTCCTTACCTAGCATGAAGAATGAAAACATTTGTCGCATGACAGATTAAATATTTTTCCTAAATGTTTTTTTTCTTATGGTTTTAGCAACTTTATCTGGCTGGTAATCAAATAACCTCATTAGCGAGTCTTCCACAGCTACCAAATTTGGAGGTAAAAGTTGAAAAAAAAACACTCCCCACCCACTCCCACCCCCACTTTTCATTAGCAAGCCTTCTGACATTCTTGCTCTTTTTCTTCGTTATTTATGCTTCTTTGCCATCTTATTGTTCTATAGTTTCTCTCCGTTGCCCAAAATAAGTTGAAGTCACTTTCAATGGCAAGTCAGCCTCGACTTCAGGTTTTTATCCATCTAAAAGTTTTTCATTTGTCAGCAGCTCATACTGAACTCTCTCTCTCTCTTTTTATTCAAGGGTTGCTTCAAAAATTTATGCAGGTACTAGCTGCCAGCAAAAACAGAATTTCGACTCTCAAGGGTTTTCCACATTTACCTGCACTGGAGGTTTGTATCTATCTATATAGGTTTACATAAATCATATAAGTGGCCTCAATTTAACCACTCAAGACTGCTATGCACATATAGGCTCCAAAGGTTTGCATGCCAGATAAAATGGCATACTTATAAACTTTTGATACTGTAAATTAACTCTTCAATGAATTCATGTTAAAGTTCGTTATTGTTTTTATTTTTTTGTAAGGCCTCTGTATAGAGGCAATGTTAAAGATCGTTTGTACATTAACTCTGGATAATTTTTTTTATGATGCAGCATTTGCGTGTAGAGGAGAATCCCATACTTAAAATCACACATCTGGAAGCAGCTTCCATCTTGTTGGTTGGACCTACTTTAAAAAAATTTAATGATAGAGGTAACCTAATTAAAATTTATTTTTAAGCTATCTATATTGGAATTGTTGGCCCTCTCCTTTTCAATCGGTAATTTACATTCCAGCTAAAGACCTCTGGATTCCACTTCCTATTTTATAACTAAAATTTGAGTTGTATATGTGTTTTTTAGCTTTTATCTTTTATTTTTGAAAATTTTGGACAGATCTTTCTCGAGAGGAGGTTGTATTGGCTAAGCGATATCCTGCACATACCGGCCTATGCATTAGAGATGGTTGGGAGTTTTGCCGTCCAGATCTTGCAGCAGGTCTTTACAATTATGCTTTTACGAAGCTATTTCACTCTGATTTTTCCCCCAGAGTTCACTGGATATTGTTGAAAGATCAGAGAGGCAACAAAAAAGAAAAAGAAAAAGAAAATCCCTTTGTTCGTCCATTCATCAAGTTTTACTTAATTTATATATAAATAAAATGTGTAAATCTAAAGAGAAAAAGTCATGCCATTGTATTATTTGAATGTTTTTTCCATGGATGGAGTTGGCATAAACTAATGTTAAGCAGGTCCTTTGATCTTTGTTGATTAATGCTAATTCTTTTTGCATGTATGCCTTAAATGATCAGATTCAACTTTTCGCTTTCTTCTTGAGAAATGGAAAGATCATTTTCCCCCTGGGTACTTGCTGAAGGAAGCTTCTGTTGATCGACCATTTGAAGAAGATACTTGTCGCTGTCATTTCTCGTTTGACCCAGAAGAAAACTCAAGTAACCAAGAATTAGTGTTAACATATCAATGGTTTATTGGGGAGAGAGTAGCTACGAATTTTATTGCTATACCAGATGCTACAGCTGAGGTAAAAGACCCTGCAGGGATTTATTTTTCTGTTTTATCCTTATGATTAACTGGAAGGTCCATACATCATTCTTATGTCATGCTGCTGATGTTTGGGAAGGTTTATTGGCCAAAGCATGAAGATATTGGTAAAGTGTTAAAAGTAGAGTGCACTCCCATCCTTGGAGATACGGAGTATAATTTCATTTTTGCTGTATCGTCTCCAGTTGCTCCAGGTAACTATGATTGTTTTGTTAGGAAACAGATGGGTGAGTTTGGATGTTCCCTTGCTATATGTTTTTAGGGTCCAGTATATATTTTTTTTGAACAAGAAACAACTTCTCATTGGTATAATGAAAAAGAAAAAATGTTCCAGGCTTACAAACTCCTGAAGGGAGTTAAAACAAAAGAAAGAAAATACGAAATCGAGATCTTAGAAACGATTACAATTTTCTTCCCAATGCTCATTAATGAAAACCTACCAAATTTGTGGAGTGGGCTAATGTTATCTTAAAATGGAAGAAATTTTAGACTTATCATTAGTTTACCCTAAAAATTGGAATTATGGTTGGATGAAAACCTTTTGAAATTTAAAGCAATGAGATAGATGCTTACTTAAACAATTCAAAACCTTAATGATAAAGAACCATAAAAGTAAAAAGCACACAATGCTAGGGCTGGGGTGGCAACTATGAGCTCTTTCTCCATATTCTTTTGTAATTTCTCTCCAGGTTACTTAGAATTTTTTTGTAACCTGTGGAAGCCCCTGTATAATGCTCATTGAATATGTTGGTATACCAAAAAAAAAAAAAAAAAGTTAAAAGAAAGGAAAGATTTTATTGTTGGGATTATTTCTTTATTTATTTTGATTTTCATCTACTGCATTCATTCCAAACTATCTATATACTTACTTATGAGCTGCTTATGTAATGACATTATCCAATCATTTTCTTAAAATTTTTTATTTTAAGGAAGCAAAATTCCGAAGGTTGTAAACCTTGAAGTGCATGGGGAGCTTGTGGAGGGTAATATTATCAAAGGCTCAGCTGTCGTGGCATGGTGTGGAGGATCTCCTGGGAAAAGTGTTGCTAGGTAAAATTTAATTGAAACGGTTGTGTATTCTAATAGGCTGTTGTCATCATGATGAAAATGGAAGCCTTCAAAATTTTCAATGGCCAGTCCATATGTTAATTGTTATAGGTTAAATTACAAAATTATAATTAGAGTGTATCATTTGAGCATTAATCTCTTTTTATTTCTTCAATGAAAAGTTTAATTTTTTTTGTTACTATGGGATAAGCTATGTATCATCATCAGTGAACAAGTTGTTGTGGGTTTTTATGGGATAGGTATTAGTTTCAGCCAGAGAATAGTTCTATTAACTTCATTTTTTGTTCTTGTTCAAATACAAAAGTTGAGCTTATTCTCTTATTTCTTGACAAGGAGATTGTGAAAGTGTGTGAGCAAGGTTATGTATACCTCAGGAGTATATATAAAGAAGCAAAATGGTAAAATATAAGATCTATCAAACCCAAAATGAAAACCATAATTATGGATCATAGGCACAAAGCCATAGAAATCTTTTCCTCCAAGAAGGTCAAAAAACCTTTGAACCTTCGAAGGAACGGTTTAGCCACATTTGAAAAAGCTTTAGCCTGAGTGATCATAGCAAACTTGCTTACTGAAAAAAAAAAAAAAAACAATCATAAAGCTTTCACTTCGACACTATGGAAAATAGAAATTGAAGTAAAGGCTGCTAACCCTGTAAGGGAGACTAAAAGCTTTGAAAGGATAGCTTCAAATAACTATAGAAAACTTTTCAACCTAACAAACATACAAAAACTCATTGTGAGGTAGCTTTAACCGACCCCTAAATATAAAATAACAAACAAATCATCTTTTTATCTTAAAAGTAAAGAAACCTTCCTGAATATTGATAATCAAACTACCCAACTAACTTTTCAAAACATTGAAAAGCAAGGTTGTTAAGCTTATCCTCCCCCCCATACACACAGTAACTATTATTATACATATAAAATGGTCTTTTTCTGAAACTATCTTTACATCCTCAGTTGGTTAAGGAGAAAATGGAACAGTCCCCCTGTTGTTATTGTTGGAGCAGAAGACGAGGAATATTGCTTGACAGTAGATGATATTGATTCAAGTTTGGTTTTCATGTACACACCCGTTACAGTAGAAGGTGCCAAAGGCGAACCTCAATACAAGTACACTGATTTCATCAAAGCTGGTATGTGGTTGAATAACTGCATAGATTTTTTCTCAGTCCTAGCTATATAAGTTCTACTGGAATGAACAAATAAATGAATTAGCAACTCAAAAGGATGTTATAGAATTAATTAGTTCTTAGCTCTTGGAGTAAATTATTATTATTATTATGTTTATTTATTTGTTTAAAAAGCATTAGAAATGGAGCTAAACATGACCTCTGATGACAGCTCCCCCATCAGTCAGTAACGTTCGAATAGTAGGAGATGTTGTTGAAGGAACTACTATCAAGGGAGTTGGTGATTACTTTGGAGGAAGAGAAGGTCCAAGCAAGTTTGAATGGTTGTATGAGAACCGGAACACTGGGTGAGTAATAAATACAGTTTTTTTTTAATAATAAGAAACAAAATTTTCATTATTAGATGAAAAAAAGAAAGTTAAAGTTCTAGGATACAAACTCCCATAGATGCAAAGTACTAAAGGTCTACAGATTTACATCTGTGAACTTGATCAACCTGATCTATTACATAGTTTTTGTCATGTTGCTTATATCTGCCATTTCCTTGTCCCATCTTTTCTATTTAAAGCATAAACTTGAAGCAGCAGAACTTTTGTTTTTGATAAGAAATAGACAACTTTTACTTCAAAATGGTATTTGTATATGTTTTTTATATCCTATTATTAAAATTTTCTTTACTTTTTTTTGCAGCGAATTTGTTTTGGTGTCTTCTGGTACATGTGAATATACCTTGAACAAAGAAGATGTTGGGCGGCAATTAACCTTTGCATACGTGCCTGTCAATTTGGAGGGTTTGCCTCTTGCAATTTTGTTTATAATAGTTGGTCTTATATTATAAATTTGGTTGCTATGAGAATAATTGGTAATCTTATTTGATGTCTTTTAGGGCAAGAAGGTGAATCTATGTCAATGACATCTAATGTAGTTAAACCAGGTAATTTGACTAGTTTCAGTTTTGAGATCTATGAATGTCTAGTAATGTCCTTCAACATAAAATTTAGGATTTTAAATTACGTTAAATGATGCACTTGGCAACATAGATTTTCCATTTTGCTCTCTGAAAGTTTGGTTTCTCATAAAAAGCCAAAAAATCAAATATCATCTTGTTATGTTCATGTTGTTCTCATATCTCTTAGGTGTTGTGTTTTTGTCTATTATGCTTTTCTTCTTTTGTTTGAAAATGCATCCATGCATTTAAGTTTCTATCTATTATGTGTGCAAGTAAGTGCACAAGGTTATTTTTTATATACATACTATCCATTCTTTCCTATATACTGGAAATGTTAACTTTTAAAAGAGATTTTCTTAAAACATATAAAGTTGAATGTTAATTTACTTGGGTATATTCCTCTCTTTCCATTTCTATTTCCCATTTTCAGCTCCTCCAAAGGTCACAAACGTGAAGATAGTTGGAGATATAAGAGAGAACGGTAAGATTACTGTAACTGGTACTGTTACCGGAGGAAGTGAAGGCTCTAGTCGAGTACAATGGTTTAAAACAAGTTCTTCACTATTGGAAAGTTTTGAGGGTCTTGAGGCATTGAGCACATCCAAGATTGCTAAGGTAAATGGCTTAATTGATCTAGTTGTCAGTTTCATCTTATGCAATTTTCTTGGCCTTTTCTACCCTTAAGTTTGATGTCTGTATAGGCATTTCGCATACCTCTTGGCGCTGTTGGCTTCTATATTGTAGCAAAATTCACTCCAATGACTCCAGATGGTGAATCTGGGGAACCAAGTTATGCAATATCAGATGGTCCAGTTGATAGTAAGTTCTTACTTTGTTTTTGTGTGTTTGGATTTATTGAAATTGTAATTAATCAAGGAGTGGGTTTAATTCACATGGTCAAATAGTATAATTTTATGACCTTGATGTGCTTTAAAATTGTAAATATTTTTTTAGGATTAACTTTATAGACATACACGTACATATTTACGTGTGTGTATATATATATATATATATATATTTATAGGAAACTGTTTTATTGATTGATGAAATAAAATAATCAATGAAATCAATGTATGCAAATACATGTCCTATAAGCAATGCAGTTTAAGATAGTACACTTGTATCTTCTTCAGCTTCAGGACAATGTCATTTTAGATATATCTTCTAATTAATTTCCTTTCATGCAGCTCTTCCTCCGAGCTTAAACTTCTTGTCCATTACTGGTGATTACACTGAAGGCGGGATATTAACGGCATCATATGGTTATGTTGGGGGTCATGAGGGAAAAAGTATTTACAGATGGTATCTTCATGAGGTATGCAATAATAATAATTTATTGTACGATCTTCACAGATCATCTTGCTAATGCTAATTGTTACGTTGTAAAACCTCACTTAAGGGATTTCTTTCAAGCTACTGCTAGTTCTCGGGGTAAAATTTTAGTACTGATTTAGGATCAGTGCAAAAGTACAAGATTACATAAAAATTGCTTGCTTCCCCCAAACCCATCCCTTGTCCTCTCCTATTAATTTGATTGATTGCCTGATAGACCGTAATGATAGGTAGTCTGATGATTGTAATCATCATTTTGCTTGATAAGAATGGAATTAGATGATTATCATAGTGTTGACATGACTGTTCTATGAATCTGCAGATTGAAAATGACACTGGCACTCTAATACATGAGGTTTCTGGACATCTACAGTATCGTCTTACCAAGGACATAATTGGAAAATTTATTTCATTTCAATGTACACCTGTCCGTGATGATGGGATAGTGGGTGAGCCGAGAATTTGCATGGCACAAGAGCGAATTCGTCCTGGTAATTTCCTTTTTGCTGGCTTTTGATAGCAGTTATCCAATTGTTATCCTAGTGCATTATCCATTTATTAAAAATGTTTACTTTGATCATAATTCTCTATGATGTATAGTTTAAAATGTGAATATGCCTTCTGTTCTTTTGTTTGGCAATAGGAACTTTTATGGCCAAGAAACGAGAATGATTTTTTTTTAGAAAAATAATCTCTTAAACGTTAAACTTCAGAATGAAATCTCACAATTTCTAATTTTAGCTTTTTTTTATAGTAAGAATGAATCCACAATAAGATAAGTTAACCTCAAAGGAATCTAAAACGTTGGGCTTCTTGAAATGGTGAAATTGTCAAGGAAAAAACACAATTTAATTTTTCTTTATCAAAAAACACAATTCCATTAGTTTCTTCTAGGGAAAGGGTTCCCTCTACCTTATGCCTCTTGGTTGTCTTTTTTCTCGTTGGTGGAATATATTTCTCTGTTCCTTATGAAAATGTATATTATTAGACAATCTTTGCAGTGATTAGTGAAAATTTTCAAGTATGTTCAAAGATGAGCACAATTTCATTAAAGTAATGAAATTACAAAATAAAGGAAGACCTCTTGGTGGTTATAATCATCTCCTTCAATTAACATACACCAGTAAGAAAACAATTTTTATTCAAAATTTCATTGCTGCTGCCAATTTTCTATGTAGAAGTTTAATTAAAACTCCAGTGTAGCAGTTCTTAACTAAACTGTCAAAAAAGAATCTAAACAACCAACAGCAACTAATAGAAAAAAGGAAAAAAAAAAAAAAAAAAACTAACAAGGAGGCAAAGGTTGCAACATTGCCTACATCCGACAAGTTGATGTCCTTTATTGGTATTAAACATTTATTTTTCCTGTGCTGCAAGAAACCTTTGTAGTTGTTCAGATAAATAATGAGTTCTGTCTTTTGTTTGTCTATTTCTACTTTCTTGAAAGCTATAAAAATTGGTTGCTTTTTGATGACCAGGTAGCCCGAGATTGCTCTCTCTGCAGATTGTTGGAAGTGTTGTTGAAGGAACGGTTCTTAGTGTTGACAAAAGTTACTGGGGTGGTGATGAGGGCGAATCAGTTTTTCGGTGGTTTCGAGTACTTTCTTCAACCTTAACATCTATATTGTTGTAACCTTGTATCGAAAAGTATTTCAGGGTTACTTTGACTAGTACCAAACAAGATTCGGTCATTTTGAAAAAGCTAAAAATAAAAACAGACCTAGCCAGTCAAATCTAGTAATTTAAGTCTGTTATACCATGAAACTCATTTTGTTTTATTTATTTACTTGTTGCAATGTGCACACCATTTTATTTCTTAGAGTATATTTTTGGTACAGACTAGCAGTGACGGGACTCAGAAGGAAGTTAGGGGTGCAACTTCTGCTACGTACATGCTATCAGTTGATGACATTGGCTATTTAATTTCTGTTTCTTGTGAGCCTGTAAGAAACGACTGGGCTCGTGGTCCTATTGTTACTTCTGAACAAATTGGACCTATAGTGCCAGGTAAATATAGTTCTTTTCAACTTCACATGGTAAAATTTTAGGAGGAGCTCTGTTTCACTTTAACTCCTCAAACAGTCGGCAAATTCTTGTAGTTCAGCTTGTTATAGTTGTATAAGTTCTAACTCAGATTGTTAAATGCCAGTTTTTAATTTATCTGGATCATTTAAATTTAAATAAAGTTGATATATTTGTTGTTTGACTAATAATTGTGTTTGTTTATTTTTTAGTTGAAGCTTCTTAAATGTATGTGTGATATTTATAATGCAGGTCCTCCCATTTGCCAGTCTTTGGAAATTGATGGATTACTGGTAGAGGGCCAGCGTTTGAGCTTTAATGCAGCTTATAGTGGGGGGTGTGATTCTGAGAATACACTTTTGTTCTTGATGCCAAGTCTTTTCTTTTGCTTACTTGTTCTTTCAATGCAGGGCGAGAGGAGACTGCCATCATGAATGGTTTAGGGTTAATAATGATGGAATGAAGGAGAAACTCGGGAAAGATGGTGAGATCTTGTTGAGTTATCTGATTGGTTTTATTTTCTTCTAACCTTAAATTCTCATTAAATTTTCTTATATAACAGAGTTTCTGGATTTAACTTTGGATGATGTTGGAAGCCGTATTGAACTTGTTTACACTCCGATACGAGATGATGGAATGAAAGGAAACCCAAGAAGCATAACATCCGATGCAATTGCCCCAGGTAATTTATATCCATTTATTAGGATTGCTGCCTCGTTCTTTTTGGAAGATTTGCAATCCTGCTTTACCTTCATGATGTTTGTGCCAAGATGATATCTCATATAAACTTTTGTAGAACTGGAATTGGAATGAAGAAAATTAGCATTGAGAATGATATTATGCTTGGAATTGGAAACAAATTTAGGTTGGCTCACAAGAAGTCGAGAGAAAATAAGATAGATGGAAATTGGAAACAAATTTTCTTGTCTTTACTAGATGATTTGTATGAAATTTTAGAATTCATATTTTGATTCATATATTTTGTAACTGAACCCCTTTTCTTTGTTGTAGGGGAACCAATGGGACTAAAACTCGAGATACCAGATTGCTGTGAGGGCCAGGAGGTAGTTCCAATCAAGTTGTATTTCGGTGGGCATGAAGGTGCTGGACAATATGTCTGGTACAGGACGACACATAAGCTGGAAGAATCTGAACTACGGGACTTGTCGAATTCTTGTGAAGATGTCTCCATATGTGATAGAACGCTGTAAGGCTGGTTTTGATTTTCAATTCATTAAACTAAGTTCACTACATAAATAAATGGATTGAATGGTATACGTACTGTACCAGAACGTATGCTCCATCTCTTGATGACGTGGGGACATATTTGTCCTTGTATTGGCTTCCCGAATGTGTTGATGGCAAATGTGGAAAGCCATTAGTTGCAATTTCAAGTTCACCTGTAACCCCAGGTACGGTTATGGCTATAAATCTTTGAATCCTTCGCAGTAACATGTGGGATTTTAATTTGTTAACTAACTGATATTGAATACTGTGGCAGCCTTACCAGTGGTTTCTGGGGTTTGTGTCAAAGAATTGTCTTTTGGTATTTATTCTGGGGAAGGCAAATATTTTGGTGGTCATGAGGGATCAAGCCTTTTTAGTTGGTATCAGGAGACAAATGATGGCACAATCATTCTCATTAAAGGGGCCACCTCTAGGGCCTATGAAGTCACTGAAGCTGATTATAATTGCCGTCTGTTATTTGGGTAATTATACCTTTTGTTCTCTCTAAATGTAATGTCCAATTGTTTTCCTGCACGTGGTCGTTTTCTTTTTTTAAGGAGCCACCAAAAGGCAAATCCGAAACTAAGAAGCCGACAGCAAGAATTTCAATGGAGACTCCTTGTTAATATCTTTTGACATGTGCATCTGTTTTCTTGTTTCGTATGATTCTTCAATTAAATCAATCGAAAGTTTGAACAATATAATATATTCGAAGAAAGGTAGAATTTTCTGTACAGTTGTTCTTGTAAGTCGAATCATGCGATATTTTTTTACATCGACTTGTTACGAAGTTCTCTCGGCTGCCAAGCCATCAGATAAGATGCTCTAACTGGCTCACTTTTGTAACAAATATCCTACAGATACACACCAGTTCGTTCAGATTCTGTTGTTGGAGAACTCGTGCTGTCTGATCCAACAGACATTATTCTCCCTGGTAATAATTTTTTCAATCTGCTTGGAACTTTTATTTCTAATTATTTTTCTTATATGAAGCTTTTCAGGTTTTATTTTTAAACTTTGACTTCTTGTTGATCTATAGAGCTTCCTAAAGTGGAAATGCTTGCTCTCACTGGAAAGGCAATTGAAGGTGAAGTCCTCACTGCAGTCGAAGTGATCCCGAAGAGTGACCATCAGCAATGTGTCTGGAATAAGTACATAAAAGAAGTGATATACCAATGGTATTGTATCATACATTCATACCGTGCTTATGTGCTTCTTAAATTCTTGTAAATGACTTCTTCGGTTGCTAAAATATTTGTCTTTTTTACCATTGGTTCGTCAAAATCGAATGTCTGTTTACGACAATTCCATCCATCAGAGTACGGGTATACGTTCTGATAAATAGGATTATGAATCTACCAAATTTAGTGCACGATGTTTCACGTAGGAATAGCATATCAGTTGCATAAAAAATTTTGGCGTTCAACATGCAATGGTTCATTACTTTGAGACTTTATTCTGAATGCCACATAAACAGGTTCATTTCAGCTGAAGCAGGAGATACCAAGTCTTTTGAGCTTTTACCTACACAGCGTTCTTGTTCTTACAAAGTCCGTCTTGAGGACATTGGTCATTGTTTGAGATGTGAGTGCATTGTGATTGATTCGTTCGGAAGATCAACTGAGCCGACCTGTGCTGAGACTTCACCAGTGTTGCCAGGTCATATTTTTTAAATCTTAAAAAATTTCCTTACTACTACTTTCACTGCCTTTTATTTTTTAAATCTTTTTTCGGTACAGGAGTTCCTAAGATCGATAAGCTGGAGATAGAGGGCAGAGGTTTTCATACCAATTTATATGCTGTTCGTGGCGTTTACAGTGGAGGAAAAGAAGGAAAGAGTAGAATTCAGTGGCTTAGGTCCATGGTTGGGAGCCCTGATCTTATCTCCATACCAGGTATTATAGATTCTTTTGAATGATATTTGCCTGTATTTTGTATATACAACAATATTAATTCCTGTCACCTTGAATAAGAGCATAATGAGTAAGCTGCAGCATCATGAGCTTTATATGATAGATTAGGGAAAAAAACTAATCTTTTCGATATATTCGTAACACTCTACATGGTTCCCTACGTATTAACAACATGAGGTGCTTACATGGGCTACTATTGTGATTTTGAATTGTCTGATCTCGTGAAACTCCAGGAGAGACGGGCAGGATGTATGAAGCTAATGTTGATGACGTGGGCTATAGGTTGGTTGCCATTTATACTCCTGTGAGAGAGGACGGTATTGAGGGTGAACCTGTCTCAGCGTCTACCGAGTCAATTGCTGTTGGTAAGACAAAATCTCATCCCATTCTAAGCTCTTGTACTTGATTAAATAGTATAGGATACCAAAAGCTTGTTAGGAAATGAAACTTTTCATCCTCAAGAACTGCAAAGGGGTGTGTATTCCCAAATATGATATCGCTCTCAGTGCAGCATAGATATTAACTTGTTGAAGACATTCGTCTTTGATGGTTGACTTATCTCACTAAACTCTTGAAATGATATCCAAAGCCATCTGTTATATCATTCAAATGATATTCCTATTCTTCCTCCCCTGTGAAAGAACTTGATTGAAGTGTATTTTCTCAGAGCCTGATGTTGTTAAGGAAGTGAAGCAAAAGCTTGATCTTGGTTCTGTAAAGTTCGAGGTATGAACTCAAAATCTTTTATGTATTTAATTTTCATTTTTTGTTACGGTAACAATCTGCGGTAAGGCGTTGTTTCTTATTGATTGAAACATGCCACCAAAGGAATAATGCTGGACTTGCCTTTTGCCTCTTTGTCTTATTGTTTTAACTAGTTTTTCCTTCGATTTATTGCTCATCACTTTTGAAACAGGTATTGTACGACAAGGATCGTGCTCAGAAGAAGGTGCGCCCTCTTTTTCATACCACATTTATCACGTGGATCATTTTTTGGTATATAGATGGAAAACGAACTAACCATTTTATGATATCCCCCCAGATTTCTATAGTTGGAAGCTTCGAGAGAAGAATTCTGGAAATCAACAAAAAAAGAGTGAAGGTTGTAAAGCCAGGTTCAAAGACATCTTTTCCGACCACTGAAATTCGTGGAACTTATGCACCTCCATTTCATGTAAGCGTCTCTAGCTATAAACGTTCTTGAGCCCAATGATTTGACATCTCAATGGTTGGAAAAGAAAATTTAGACTATCTGTAATATTTTCTGATGTGCCCAATGATTTAACAGGTTGAACTTTTTAGAAGTGGTCAACATCGGCTTAGAATCGTAGTCGACAGTGAAAATGAGGTTGACTTGATAGTGCATTCCAGACACCTCCGAGATGTTATCGTCCTAGTGATCAGAGGCTTTGCTCAAAGATTCAACAGTACATCTCTTAACACTCTCCTCAAAATAGATGCATGAAATACTGCGTTGCTGTACTAAAAAGGCCAGAAACAAAGAAGAAAATATAGCCAATTCTTATCAAACTGAGTGATTCATCTTAATGTTTTCTTCCACAATTTAATTAGTTCATAACATATAAAGCTTCATTATGCTCATTGTTTAGAGCAGTGGTCACTGGGTTGGTTGTCCAGATTCAAATGTATATCATTTGGGTCCTCTTGTATATCTCAAGATGTCTGTTGTATTCTTCCCTCCTGCCTCTCTTGTATATCTTAAGATGTCTGGACTCTTTATTCAATTCAAGACAACAATTATTTTTGGATTAAGAGATGAATTTTTCATGGTGCTTTGCAACAAATGGGCAAGCAATGGACGTCTCTTGTGTCTTTTGTATTCTTCTTTTGGAACAACAAGCAGCAACACCACTAGCAATAAAGACATTGGGGAACAAATAAAGAAGCCAAGTGGTCGATATTTTTCTACTCATTTGAAATTGCAGGACTCCTCTTGTTCTTTCCTTGGCTGTTCTTCAACTTCTCTGTTTTCTTATTCCCATTATATTGGTTACTGACTGAACCCTCTTGAGCACTGCACATTTGAGACTTCAGCTTGAATCCAAATTTCTTCGATACAGTTCCCCATGCACTCGAACCCTTTGGTCGGCCTAGTTTCTCGATCTCCTGTCGCATGTTTGAGCATTCCTTTTCAAGCTCGGACACTCTCATCCTCATGCTATCCATCCCAACCTTCAAAACTTGATTCTCTCTAACAGCTGTTCCCCAACCTCCTTCATTAGATCCAACAATCCCACTTCTCAACTGTCTGGATCCATCAAAATTGTCTGAAACTAGAAAACAGCCAGCAATTGAGGTCCTAAGCTGAAGCTGCTCAAAAAAGAGCACTTGAACAATGATTCTAAGGGGTAGTCTTTCATTCTGTGCAGCATGTGTACAGGCTTCTAAAGAAAGCTTCTGGCAGTCCATCAGTCGACATAGTTGTTCTCGGTCGGATTCTCCTAACCATGGGTGTGACTGCAGAGATTAACATCATTAAGAACAATTAGCAAACGTAATCGAGCCACATGACTGTTACTTGGTTACATGACATATTTGATCCAGACAGAAAGGCAGAATACATGACATATTTGATGGCCAGATGATGCAGCCAGCCAAATTAGACAAAAAATGACTTGCAATGTACAGTAACATGTAATATAAACCATACCTTCAGATATATATCTATAGCACGATAAAGGCCATCATCCAAAGGTCTAGCGTAATCAGGAACTGCACCGGCAAGGGATTGAAACTTGGGAAGCTTCAAATTGACATCAGGAGCTACTTCTGCAAGGTATCCATCTATCAGCTTTGCGACCATGGTAATTGGTGGCATAGAGGGCGACCCTATCAGCTGTTCATCATCAATAGAACATGGTGAGGCGCCCCCATGATTGACCTGCTCCATTGCTAGGAAGTGCTCAAGAATCCTTTGGACACAGTCAACATTGTAAAGTGTATCCATGGAGTTGGTGAAATTGGGCATCAAAAGATCTTCTACAGTGGCTTGATCAAGTTGCATACCCACCCTTTTCTCTAAAGTACAGATGCAAGAAGGATTGACCCGAAGAATCATGGACGTACGCAATAACCCAAAAAGCAACTTGGTCGGAACTAGGTTCTTCTGCATTGGAAGCATCCTATCAATCTCTTCTAGTAAAAGTTTTTGTTTGTCTTCTGAGGACGGTGTCCCCAAAGCCACTGGCATGAGTCGACTACTAGATTCGCTAGAACTTTGACGCCGATTTAGACCAGGAATATACCTTTTAGCATAGGAAGTTACAGACCCTGCAATAATTTCCGGTCTGATTCCACGTGATTCCAATGCTGAAATTAACCTCTTGTAAAGAGGCAAGCTTAAGGTTGCAGCGTCTTCATACCACCAATCCAGACTTGAATGTTTCAGCCTAGCTCCCGTACTTATGCCATTCCACAAAACACTGCCACCAGGACTTTGCATAGGTCCTCCATGCTCTGTAATTGGCCACCCAAATAAACTTGGGTCAGTGCATGCCTTAACAGCAAGTGACTCGATACATCTTTTAGTGATATGGAGTTCATCTGCAAGGGGAAGGATATCATCATCACATGTCTGTAGCGCCGTCAGAGAGTCCTTCCAGCTTTTGAGGACAACTTGATTCAGAAAGGCCTCAGTCTGAGAAATGAGATTACCCTCCCCATACTCCTCAGTCATTTCTAGACGCTCAGCTGCACAGCGGAGGTAGACAACATTTGAGGGTGTACAGTCAATTTTGACCCCGTAGCAGAACTTGGCAACCAGTTCAAATGTTTTGGCACCCCCAGGAACGTTAGGAATAGTTATTACACCTCCTTCCTCCTGTTCTTCAGCTGCTTCAGCTATCATTCTTTCCATTACCCCGCTTCTCGATAGCAGAGGGAACTGCAGCCATGAAAGGTGAAAGATTTAGGTAAATGAAGCATATGAATAAATGCACTGTTGTAATACTCAAGGCTACATCAGAAATATAGAGGAGAAAGGAAAATTTTGAATACTGAATCAAATTTAACCAGGGATTTGTTTTCTTACGCACGTGCAACATCAACTGGAATCAAAGAGAAAACATAGATTACCTTGTGTAGATGGAAGGACATCTCTCCAACTTCAACAATGATATCACTAGGCAGTCCACTAGTGCAGAACCTGCAACAATTAACAAAATGCATAAATCAAGAAGGAAAGCTTCCCCTTATTCATTCTCTTCTGACGAGTTCCATATTTTCGATGTAGATGAAGAACTAACTTTAAAACATGCCTACATTACTTGATCTAAAAGTTCCCATCTTAGCTGAGAACAATGAAAGAATAAATCCCAGCACAAAGTTCCTATCAGATAATTTTGTCAAAATTTCCTAGAAACCATGGCATTTGGGTACTGAGGGAGCATTTAGAAACCATGGCAGCCTGAAGCACGTTGGGTTTTCTAATCACAGTTAATTGCAAGAACATCAAAGAAGTTACCATCATGAAGTTTGTAACACTAGTGGGCTAAACCTCAAGCTATCTTGAAGTTACAGAACAGATATCTGTTGCAGGAAAGAAATAGTTAAAGTTTTAACAGTTCAGGGTCCATACCAGGCCTGTCCTTGCCTTTGGAATGCATCGTTTTTGGATCCTAGCTTAACGCAAGCCATCTTCCCACTGAAAAAAGTTGAAAAAATAACTTCAACGCAAGGGCTTCAAGAAGGCACCCATCAAGCATATATCAGAATTCACACAGAACTTCCTGAAATGAGGCCACTTAAAGCCCCCTCATACCTTGGCGCTCTATGTAAAAAGCTTGTGCAAGCAGAAACTGAAGCAATCCCCCAGAAAAACTTTCGTTCAAGACCGAAATCAGCAGAGAACCCTAGAAACTCAAGCTCAAGTTTCCAAAACCAGCGGCAATGTAGTCGGTTGACTAGTTTCTCTTACAGAAACAACTCGCTAACTTTCCAGAAACGGTAACAATCTATCAATGCAGAGAAGAAATGGGCAAATCCCTTCAGAAATTGAGCTCTTAGTTCATTTAAACGGATAATCAAGTCAGCCACTTCACCAAAATACAACACCACGAAGAAAACCCAGAAGAAAGAAAACGAAATGAAACAAATCAGGACACCGAAATTAGTTCAACCCCTACAGGTTTTGACCTAACAACAAGAAGCACAGCTGTTCAAAGAAGAAGGAATCCGGGGTGTCTTCTTCTTTTTGCAGCCGCTCAAACTCACCTAGAAGATTCCAAAATCCAAAGGCCAACGGGGCAGAAGGGACCAAAACCGGAAACCACTCATGGAAGCGATTAAAGAAAAGGGCACGAAGGAATCACTTGGAACGTCAAGCGTAACGCTGAAAGCAGCCATAAAGGCAGGCTGAAGCTGCGGGGCATGAGAGAATTGAAATTGAAAACCCCAAAGCGAGACAATAATAAATGGGAGGTGTCCGAGAGGGAGAGAGGGATATTGAGAAGGCCATGTGGGGTCGTTTGCCTTGAAACGCACTCTTACTTTCTAGTAATTTGCGTAAGCATCATCGTTAAAAAATGACCTCCAACAGAAACGCCGTTGACCCACCTCATAATCTCTGGATTAAATGAACAACAATTCCTCAGTTTACTGACAATTTTAGAAGCTTTGAAGTAACACCTATCCGTCTTGTCCAGCTAGGCCATGTGGAGTGGGTCCGTGATCTTGGATTGACCCAGACGTTTTTCTCCCAATATTGATTGGACAAGGAAGACAATAATATATGAGCTTTTAAGACAATAATATATGAGCTTTTAAGACAATAATAAATGCCCCATTTTTATTACCACTGTACAATTAAGCTTGCCACTCTCCTTTCTTATTCTAAACGTCTTCTCAATTTCTTTGCAATTCCAAAATTATGATCGGGTTATTTGAGTTAAAGTCATGGTTGAATGCGTATGTGCAGTGTTTTCTTAACCATTAATCAAATGCAAAACATATTTTTGCAGGTATTTCTTAACCATGTTTCGACCCAACAAATTAATATTTTGACTACGACTCTCCAATAATATAGTTTAAATTCAGGAAACAAAAGACCGAGAGTTCCCCAAAAGAAGAAATGAATGAAAGGTCACTGTTTCTGTTTAAAAAATGTTGATAATATTGGAAACATGGAGGTGGGATGTGGGAAAGATAATAATGATGAATGTGATGTGGGAGGAATTCCAACGTCATAAAGATAATATAATATCTGAAGGACACCTATGCCTAAGCCCGAGATAATAATGATGATGATGATGAATGTGACGTTGGAGTGTGAAATAGGCGTGCCAGTGGCAATGCCAATGGCAGTGTCAGTGCCCAAGAAAGAAAAAGTGGTAAAGTTGAAACAAGCCAGTGGCCATGCCTCCTTTGTCTCAATAGCGTTGCGTTTTGGGGGACAAAACGGACTTCCCAACAATCCTTTTTGCCCCCTACTCTGTCAGAAATCCCAACTTCTCTTTCTCATCACACTCTGCCTATTTATTCAAACTAGGTAACTAAATGTTGATGATACTTAGTTGCTTACAAAATCAGGAATCAGAAAGGAATATGCTGGAATAGTTCACAATTACAGGAGGAATAACACTAGAACACCATTCTGTAACAAAGGGAAAGTCTAAAAAGAGCAAGGTCAGATGAAAAGAGGCAAAATAGATCAAAAGATCGATCCTCCCAGAAGTATGCTGTATATTTATTACCAAAAATAAAAGCCATTTTACATTGAACAGTAGTACTATCAAGAGGAAAGGCACAGATACCAG